GAGGACGAACTCACCACGGGAATCGTAGGAAGTGGTTGTAATTGGTAACGTAAGCTTTAACTTTGGGTTTTTTTTATATTATCGAGGCCGCGTTATTGCTTTGTTGGTACGGTAGTTTTAAATTGAACGTCTTGTGCGTTATATGCTGTATTCTAAGTGTCGGGGCCATTGGTGGAAACGTTATTTTATGCTTTGAGATGTAAAGTTGAGATGTGAAATTAGTTATATATAAATATTGATTGATTGCTGTGTGCTGGATTGCTTATCGTGGAAGCCTGCCCAGTGAGTGAAACCAGTCGCTGTTTTTGTTTGGGACTCAAATCACAAAATGTTTTGGACTTTTCTTTAGTTAAAATTCTGTGACAATTGTGCCAGGTTTCAGTTTTTTTGAAGCCCCCTCCTGGAACGTCATCGGCATTTACATCAGTCACTCGCACGGCTGTTGTATATGGATGATCTGCCACATTCCAAAAAGGTCACTGGTGATTGTAAATCATCGTGCTCTCAGGACGTGAATGAACGTGCATCACTCCGATATGAATCACTCCGCCGAGACGCACTCGCACATTATAATTAGTTCTGAACCCGTTCGCATTTTGCTTTCTTGGGTTATTAAACGCGCTGGTATCGAATACCTGCGGCTATTTAGAGGGGCGGCCCGGATCGGATCGCGTCGTGTAAAAATATTTACTTCCTTTCTGAAATCCGGCACGGATCCACTGACATTTCATACGAACAAAAAAAAAAGCCTCCCCGCCGCATACTGGCGCTTTAATTAATGAAGCATAAAAGCTGTCACGAGTCACGTGGTCTTTGAGCGGTGGCGCAGAAGTCCTTCCCCTCGCCGTCCATCGTATCACGTGTATCCACACGTCAAATTGACCGGCGGGCTTTGCTCGGAGCGCACACGGCACTTATCCCGTCATTGGGCAGAATCGGAGAGAAAGATAGAGGATCGAAGCGAGAGAGAGAGAGGGAGGGAGGGCATCATCTGATCCGCTATGCCACCCACCCCGTTGCAGACGCGATGTCCTCGCCATCAGATCCCCGCTCGCACAATCTGGGGGGCACTCGGAACGTCGGTGTAAATTTGGATTTCGCTGACGCCCCCTGAGTGCCTTACAAGGGTGAATTACCCCCCAGCCAGAAAGAGACGATAAGTTTACAGGGTGAAGGACTGAACTTTTGATCACCTAGACGAGTATCCGGGGTGGAAGAAGTGACAGGGGGGGGGGGGGGGCGAGTGTAGGAATTTGAGGCTCAGAGGCTCAGCCTCGCAGGGTTTGATTTCATTTGCGGGAAAAATAAAATAAAAATAAAGCCGCGTCGTTTGTGGAGTTCTCGTGGATGGCACCCACCGCCTTCCCTGACGAGCGGGGCGTTTTAGGCTGCTCGTCCTTCTCGGCACTGCACACTGCAAGAGGTGCGTGTCCCTGCCACTGAATTAGATAACAGCTCTCCTCTTGGAGATGAGCAGTATGTGAAGGTGGGGTCTTTAAATTGCTTGCTCACGTGACTGCTGGCGCGGAGTGGCTTTCATCTCGAGGCGGCTCTAGCGTGGTCCCTCCGCCGGGCATGTTGCGGCCTTCCTCTCCCGTGCTGACCGGCCAAGACGGTCTTTAGAAGACGGCGGGGATTACCAGCCGCGCTGCCAATCCACCGGTTACCCACACTTCACCCCGCCGGCTGCGATCTGCCTGCCTCGAGCACAATTGGCGGTCGAGGCCGGGTCGGAACAGAGGCGGGGGATTTTAAGAAACTTTTCTCCCATTTTGATTTAAAACTTTCGTGACTGCAGGGATTCATATTCTTGGTTCTTATATTTTTTTTCATTTTTTTATTATTTCCCTTCTACGTGACTTTACCAAAAGAACCAAGAATATATTTTCTCCTTATTGTTTCAACTGCCGCGCCCGGAGATCGCCAACACCACAGCAGCTGTATCCCACCCACGGATGGAGCGACGCTGTATTTCGCCAATACTTACGGCTCCCGTTTCACGCATCGCTGGTGAACGGTCACAGCGTTGATCTTTTCTGCTTCCTCCCTCACACTGCTCCACCTTTTAGGAAAACTCTCCTCACATCATCGTCGTCGTCTCTCTTCCCCCATGCTCTTATCACAATAGTAATGATAACCTCGCCCCAATTCAAGCAGCGCATTAGGTTGTGTGTAGTTCACCTGCAATAGTGCTGGTTAGTACTGGCTGCCAGGCTTTTTTAGTTTCTTGGGCCTGTGTTCGGAAACTAATAAATAAAAACTAAAAAAATACTCTTTGGTTATTTCGGTAAAGTCACGTAGGTATGAAATAAACTAAATCACGATATAATAAATCACGTTTCGGGCGCAACACAACGCTTGTGTTGCGCCCGAAACGTCGTGGTTTATTTTATTTTATACCCACGTGACTTTACCGAAAGAACCAAAGGGTATAGATTCCTGCAGTCACGAAAGCTTCAAATCAAGATTAAAAAAAAAATGCCGACCAGATTCACCGCAGAGAAATCTCATCTCGCCGGCGTTTTCCCACGGGTCGAGCCCTCGGGCGGCGGGGCATTGGGCTCAGAGCCCCGTGCCCGGGAGGTCGTTGGCAGCGGAGATGAAGACGCGGGCAGACCGCCGCGTGGCTGGCGGTCGTTCAACGTGCGACTGTGGTCGTCCAGAACAGACCGTGCAACGTAGAACGACGCAATGCCCCGATCCACAAATACATCGCGGCGATAAAACGACTCCGCTGCTCCTGACGCGCTTGTCGTCTGGGCTTTGACCACCTGAATGTGCAACTGCAAGTTGTTGCTCTGCGCCCACATCAGCCGTACGACAACAACAAGAAGAAGTTCCAATCCCTCCGTCGCTTCCGCGGCCGCCCGCTCCGACGTTCGGTTCGGGCACCAAGCCAGCAGGCGGTCGCTGTTTCACAAGCGGTCGATGGTTTGTTGTTCTTGGCACTGCAAGAGGCGCGTGTCCCTTGTTTAGTTCGGTGTCCTTCCCCCGCACCTCCGACTCGCACGGTTTGGCTACGTACGTACGGCACGACCGTGCCCCGCCGCGATAGGTCGAGCTTGCGAGCTTCGCGGTAATCTTTATTCGAAATTCACGGCCGTTGTGCGGAGAACAATAAATCCAATAGTTCACGGAGAGGTCGGGGATTGAGGTGGGGGCGGGTGGTCTGCCCCCCCCCCCCCCCCCAAAATTACTTAGCAAAGCAGTCAGAGGCTCAGAGCAGCTCGCGATCGGAAGGTCACAAGTTAAAATCCCGGTCAGAGGGTCAAGTTGGGACACCGATTCTCTAAGGTCTATTAAAATGTTGGGTTGTCACCAGCGGTCATGCTATGGATAGACTGGCCCCGGCCATGATAACGTGGAAAACCCACCGCTGGCTGAGCACCGGGGAAGAGAGATGAGCACCGCCCCATTGCCCATCTGAGCAGGGAGATGACTCGAACGATGACCTGTCAACTCAACTCATTTACCGGCAGCCGTAGTCAATACACTGCTGGATGGACGAAGGCCCCCTCCACCACCCCTCAAGCCGCCATTTCTCGTGATGTAATAAACCATTCCCTGCAATAATCCACAGCCGATTTCATTGCTCCATCGGCTGAGTTCCCCCCCCCCCCCCCCGTTCCTTGGCCACCGCTCCGCTATGATTCTGGACCACCGTGCCATCATACGAAGGAGGAGACATCGCAGCAGTTAACAACTCCGCTGCTCCCGGCTATCGGGCTTTGACCACCTGAATGTGGCGAGATGTTAATTGCCTCGCCTGGTATACAGGAGGTCGTGGGTTTGATCCCGACTCCTGTATATTTGGAGTTTCCATGTCTCTCTCTCTCCCCGTGGTCACGTGGATTTTTCTCCGGGTCCTCCGGTTTTCCCCTCCACATTTAAAAACACGCGTCTAAGAGTATTTTGGCTGCAATAAACGTCCACGTGATAAGCCACTTCGTTGAGCTATCATTTGCGATAGCGATACAGCTCAGTGGGGCCTTACCTGCTTAAAAAAAAATGGTAGCGTGAAATCGCCGCTCTGCGTCTACATCAGCCGCACGACAAGAAGAAGATCCCTTCTAGCCACGACGCGTCCAGCCCAAAAGGCAAATTAAACTTTTCTCAACGCCTCGAATCGTGCCGCTGTCCCGGTTGTGTTCATTCGACGACAACGCAAAATTGCCAATCGGCTCGCCAACGACCTATCAAACGCTTCCGTTGTGCGCACTCCTCGGCGTCGTTGCACGTTTCCCACGCCTCTGGTCGCGAAGCGGCAGACGGTCGGAAATTTCACGTCGCGAGAAAAAATAAACCCCGCAAGATCACTTCCCAAACGCAAAAAAAAACCTCACGTTGGCAATCGTGCGACGGAAACCGCCCCGCGCGTCGTTCGCCGTCTTTCTCGCGCAGTTCGAGTCGTGCTTATTTATTTTCTCCCCCATTCAGAGTGAGAGAGCTGTTCGTATCTTTTTGTCTCCAATTTTTTGTTTATTATCATTTAATATTATTGAATATTCACTTGGAGCAGCAGCAATTTCTTTCATAACAGCGTAGTATATCACATTATAGAAACATAAACCGCTGGGAGGCAAGGGAGAATAAAAATAAAATCCCCTAAATCCTTAAACTTAAAGTGTCCGTAGAGACAAAGTGGGGGGGGGGGGGGGGGGGGGGGGACGGTCGGGATCCCCTTTAGGCTGTCACAGACATCGGCAGGGTCCGTGTGCAAAAATACAAAAGAAATAATTAAAGTAATCGTAATAAGAATAACATTCATAACGGTAATAGTTTCTGCATACCTTATACACATCAGAACATGCAAGCGTCGATACGTATCATCATCATCATCATCCCAGGGCGTTGAAAGAATTAAAAATAACGATTAAAAAAAACAACAACAAGCAGAACCTCGCTGCATCATCTCACTGCGGAAGCCACTTCGCTCAAACGCATGCTTCATCCACTCGCCGGCTCCGTCGCCGCAACGTTTATTTATTTATTTATCCTCCCCCCCCCCCCCCCCAAAAAAAAACCTCTAAATCCCGGGGCGGTGTAAATGGCATGCGTCGTGCAAACCCGCTCGATTGTCCCGTCGACGTCACGCCGCCGTTCCGGCTCATGCTTCGTGGTGGCGGCTCCTTCTCGCTCGCCAGATTGATGTACCACGTACATATTATTGTTATTTTTTGGTTGCAGCTGCAATTGCGGGCTGGTAGAGGCGGGTGGGTAGGGGCGGTCGGGCGGGCGGGCACCGTGGCGATTTTGCAGCTGGTGGATAACTTGGCCGAGGTGGCAGCCGACGTGCGCCACGGCGTCCGTGGACGGCTCGGAGAGCGGCGATTGCGTCGCGTTGAGCGCCGTGACCCCTGACCCTGCCCCTGCCCCGTCCACCCCACCGCCGCCTCCTCCTCTCCCCGCGTACTTCCCCGCCTGACCTCGCTTCAACCCGGAGCTTTCCGTCGCAATAAATAATTTCGGAGTAGATTCCGGCTTTCTTTCCGAAGAAACAAAACAAAAAACGGCAGCCCGTTGAATTTGTTAACAACGATCTTTTTTTGGTTTTCTTCAAACGTGCGCCTTCCGTCTGCGAGCTCGCGCGAAAGCTGCGCCGGGAGTGTACCCCTCGGCGGACGCGACGTGGGTGCATCTCCTGGCAAAAGTGCACACAAATAAAAACGATAATGTCCACGCAACGTCGAAAGAGCGATGCTTTGTTGGCAAGTCATTACTTGATCACAGTTGTTGTTTTTCATTTTGCGCAAGTGCGATTCGCAGCAAGCAGTTGCATAATTTTGGCATCCGAGCGAGATACGTGTTGCCGACAGGCGTCGGCGGTACGGGCGTCGCGAGCGGTCATCCCGGCACGCACGTGGGCGGCAGCCGGAGAGACAGCGCCAACTCGTTCACCGCGGAGCGTCCCGTCTCGTCAGAAAGGGCCGAACCTTTCAGCGCCGCCGCCGCTTGGCTCGGACGCGAAGGGGCGGTGCGCGTGCGCCGCTAGACGACGGATTCCCGTATGTTCTTGCCCTCGAAGTCCTTGTTTTCTGGCTTGAGCCGCGCCGTGGCGACGCCGCCTTTGTCGCCTTCTTCTTGACGTTCCGCTTCCTTGTCATAGACGACGTCGTCCGGCGTCGCGGGAGACTCGCCGGGCAGCGGCGTAGATCCCAACGTCGCCGACGCGTCCGGCGACGCCGCTTCGGGAGCGACGACCTCCGCTTCTGGCCGAGTCGCCGCCACCGCGGCCGCCGTCTCCGGCTCCGGTACCTCCACCGTGGCGGCGTCTTTCGGCCCGGCGTCCGCCCCGTCGCCCGCTCCGGGCTTGACGTCGCCGTCGTGAATCTTCTTGAGCGACACGCGCATGCGGTGGCGCCGGTACGCGCGCTGGATGACGCGCGCCGCCAGCTCCTCCTGCCGGCGCCGCAGCGTCGTGGTGATGGGCTCGTAGGAGATCTTGGAGGGGTTTGCCGCCATGAAGCGGTCCTCCATCTGCTGCTTGAGCGCGTCCATGCCGGCGCCCTCGCCCAACACGCGCTTGGTGAACGCGAAGAGGATGTCCAGGCAGTGGATGCGGTCGCCTATCACCATGGGCAGGTCCATGTTGTAGAGGCGGATCTTGTTGGGCTTGGCGACGCGCAGCGGGTCGTCCAGGGCGTCGGCAAAGTCCGACAGGCGCTCCCACTCCATGAACTGCGTGACGTCCGGGTCGAAGCGCTCCCACACCTCGTAGAACGTCTCGAAGTCGTCCTCGCTCAGCGGCTCGGTGCTCTCCTCCGTGGCCACGTTGAAGTTCTCGAGGATGATGGCGATGTACATGTTGACGACCACCAGGAAGGAGATGATGATGTAGCTGGTGAAGAAGGCGATTCCCACCGGCGAGTTGCCGCAGTCGCCCCTCACCGACGTGCCCGGGTGCTCCTGATCGAGGTCGCAGTCGGGCGGGCTGTTGAGGATGGGGTTCAGGAGGCCGTCCCAGCCGGCCGACGTGGTGATCATGAAGAGGCAGATCATGCTGTTGCCGAACGTCTCGAAGTTGAACATGTCGTCGATGCCGCTCTCCCGCCGCACGTAGGCGAAGTTGGACATGGCGAAGATGGAGAAGATGAACATGACGAGGAAGAGCAGCAGGCCGATGTTGAAAAGCGCCGGCAGCGACATCATGAGCGCGAAGAGCAGCGTGCGGATGCCCTTGGCGCCGCGGATCAGGCGGAGCACTCGCCCGATTCGGGCGAGGCGGATCACGCGGAACAACGTTGGGGACACGAAGTACTTCTCGATGATGTCCGCCAGCAGGATGCCTGCGAGACACGCGCACACACGCACACACACACGCGCACACACGCGCACGCACGCGCGCGCACACACGCGCACACACGCGCGCACACACACGCGCACACACGCGCTTACTGTGTTGCGTTTGTTGTCCTTCCCCCCCACGCCCACACGGTGCGAAAGAAGTTCAACATACGTACAGGCGTCATTCTCCGACGGCACGTTGCGTTTACAAGCGTTGTCGAACAACGCAACTTCGCAAAGGTGCCGCGGTGGCTAGGAGATGTTAACTACCTCGCCTGGTATACAGGAGGCCGTGGGTTCGATCCCGACCCTGACGCCTGCTGTATATTTGGAGTTTGCGTGTCTCTCTCTCCATCATCATCACAGTGGCTATGAGATGTTAACTACCTCGCCCGGTATACAGGAGGCCGTGGGTTCGATCCCGACCCTGACGCCTGCTGAATATTTATAGTTTGCGTGTCTCTGTCCCCGTGGTCACGTGCATTTTTTCCGAATCCTCCGTTTTTTTACCTCCACATTTAGAATCGACATCACGCGTTTTGAGTATTAGGCTACTGTTATAAATGTCCACGTGAAAAGCCACTTCGTTGAGCTATATTTGTGGCGAGGTGGCTTCTGAAAAAGAGTGACCTTGCTCAGTGGGTGCCTTACCTGGTAAAAAAAAAAAAAATATTGTTATACGATTACCATCATGAAGGTGACCTCGTCTCTGGCTCCCTGACCTCTGGCTCCCTGACCTCACCAGCCCAACGAACCTGATGGCGCGACCTTCGCGTCAACTCACCCACGATGGACAGGATGACCACCACGAAGTCGAAAATGTTCCACCCGACGGTGAAGTAGTAGTGGCGGAGCGAGAAGAGCTTCAGGAGGCACTCGCCGGTGAAGACGACGATGAAGATGAGGTTGACGTAGTAGAGAACGTCGCTCATCAACTGGCTCTGATCGTCGACCTCCACCATCATCGTCACCATGTTGAGGCAGATGAGGACCATGATGATGATGTCGAAGGCCTGCTTGGCCACCAGGTCGTACACCCAGCCCTGGACGATGTTCTGCGTGGCGGGAGCGGACGACGGGAGGAACGGAATTAGCGTCGCGGTCACAAGGGGTTCTAAAAATATACATCGAACGTATTTTTTTAAATATGAAAACCTACGCTTAGGTTTTTTCGGTAAAGTCACGTCGGTAAAAATATACTAAGAATAAAATAATAATGAATGAAAATTACTCAATTAAATCACGACGTTTCGGAGGTAACACAAGTCTCCGTCTTCAGGTGGGACAGTCACAGCTAAATTTACTGTATCATTTAATTGAGTTATTTTCATTTATTATTATTTTATTATTATTTTACCTACATGACTTTACCGAAAAAACCTAAGAGTATGTATCCTTGCAGTCACGAAAGCTTCAAATCTAGAATTAAAATCTAGAATTATGAAAACCTACTTGTATTTATTTTACCAGGTAAGGCCCACTGAGCTATATAGGTTGGTGAGAGAGAGACTGTGTCAAGGAGTCTGCGATCCAAGGCTAACAATAATAATCTTTCATACATGAGGTGAACCGTCACATGATGTGCAAGGCATGATGGGAGAACTGATCTGACGGTCACGACTCTATTTTACTTTATACAATCCACATTTTGCACTGCTACAATTGTTTGTCTTCAGACTACTCAGTTCAGTTTGAGTTTATTTAGAATTACCCTGTGAGCCAATAAGCTCTTGAATCAACAAAAAACAACACCTTCGCTCCTCCGACATTAGCTACAAGTCACAGTAAAATACATCAATAATAAACAATAGCAGATAAGTGAAATAAAAAATAGAAATCGCAATGTAAAAAAACACCACCTTCTGTATACCAGGCGAGATAGTCAACATCTCCTAGCCACCGCAGCGCCCCCGTTCACAATGCGTCTCATCGTGAAGAGCGAGCGGAGGGACCGCATCGTCGATGTCATCTATCAGCGTCAGCCATGATCTATACACCACTGGATGTGAAGGCTTCCTCAAGATCTCACGAAGCAACGACCCATCTAGCGCCTTCCACAAGAGCAGATTTCACCGCACCACCTGTTTGGTGGGCGTCCTGAGCAACGCCGGCAATGACGATGCTGATGATCCGAATGATGACGGTGACACTGATGCTGACAATGACGACGAAGACGATCATTACAACTGTTATGACAGTGATGAGACAATGACGATGGTGACTGATCCTGACGACGATGATTGTGACGATGGTGATGATCCGAATAACGATGGCGATGACGATGACGACAACGACGGCGGCAGTCATTTCAGCGATGGGCAATAACGATGAGGACGATGACAATGTTCCTGACGACGACGACGAAGACATCGATGGCGATGACAGCGACGACGCTTCACGAAGGCCGGGAAACCCGGTGACGACGACGGTAATGATGACGGTGAGATTGACGGCGTAAACGTCGCGGCGTAAACGTCGCGAGCGAAGCGTCTCACCGACGGCCGCGGTATCGGCTTCACCGGCTTCTTGGAGCCGAGCTTCTTCATGGCGCTGTGGAACTTCTTCTGCTCCTCCGTCATGAAGATATCCTCACCACCAAAGTACGCGGGAGACAACGTCACGCTGGTTACAACCGAGAACTCGAGAGCTCGCGCTCGCAGAGAACTTCGGCGTTCGCCTTCACCGAAACGTTTGCCGCCCGTCGCGGACGTTTGCCGCACCCGGTTGGTGCCGCGGGCGCGATCGCCGATGCCACCGACAGCACCGTCGCCTCGCAGCAGCGTCATCACACACGGCACGAGCAACCACAAGCAGCATCAACCATGGCGTTATCTAGCACGGCATCGTCTCACACAGAGTCATTACATGCAGCAACGTCAATCATAGCATCATCACACGCAGCATCATCGCAGGCAGCATCATCGACTACAGCATTATCTAGCATCACATCATCACACACAGCGTCATCACCGACAGTATCGTCAACCACAGTATTACCACACACAGTGGCCTGTCCTGGTCAACTCTGTGGGTGTATTGATAATAATGGACGATGCGCTGTCTGCTTCGCAGCGAATGTTACGGGTCCCATGACGTTGTTTGATGAAGGGTAGGCCACGTGTGCTGGCCTACCATTTATCACTGGGGAGACAAAGGCGGCTGGAGCGTGGTTCTGGCCCACGCCACCCATTTGCTGGCCTTCATAGGTGCTACTCGGTCACTCCACTTGCCCCAACAGTATGTTAAGGCTACACGGGGGATCTTTGTCTCTGTGTGTATTAAACAGGGTCCTGTTCGGCATGTTTGGCTAATCCCTTTTGGAGTTAGTTGACAAGATCTTATTGTTGGCTTAGTGCGGTAACATGGCCTGGGCGCTGGCCTTGTGTCAGCTGACAAATTCCATCACCATTGGCTTTGTCAGCTGACAAATTCCCTAACCGTTGGTTTTGTTAGGTAACAAATTCTATCACCGTTGGCTTTATCAGGTGACAAATTCCCTGACCGTTGCCTTTGTCAGGTGACAAATTCCCCTCGCCGTCCGCTTCATCGGGTCCAAAATGACCTCGACCTCGGCTTGCGAGCGCCCAGAGAAAGCCCCGCGCATGTGAAGCGACAACACCGCGCGCACAGGCCTGGGCCTACTTGCCGCACTGCCTGATCCCTCCCAGGGGCCGTGAACTCACGTGCGCTGTCCCTCGAGCGCCGACTTCAACTTATCTTTTTCTTCTGCTGGTTGAAATTGTCGATGATGACGCCGATGAAGAGGTTGAGCGTGAAGAAGGAGCCGAAGATGATGAAGATGACGAAGTACAGGTACATGTAGATGTTCGTCTCGTAGATGGGCTGCTCGGTAACCTGCAGGACGACGCGCGGGGAAGGGAGGGGGGAGGGCACACACTCATCGTTGGCCCCCCAAGGCTTTGCGGTTCGAACCCGGCAGGTCGCCCGCCCCCCTCCCGTTGCTGTTGCCGGCCATCACGCTCCAAATTTGGCGAAAAAAGATGAATCGGCTTTGACCTGTTCTGGGCAATGAAATATTTATCGGAGTATGTTTTTGCCACAAGCATGTGCGGCGAATGCGGACTTGATGCCCTGCAATCGGCATCCGTTTGGTGTTTCGAACATCTTCACACCTCGTGTTTTAATTGCCAGAAAGGGTCACAAAGCCTTTTGTTGTTTTCCACCGAATTACTCAGTTGGGATAGCGTACACGGTACACTCATTGCCCACTACCCCTGGGCTGACGGCTAGTCACCCACCACCCAGTGCCACACAGGGACAGCTGCCACTGGAGGGCTGCCCTTTGAAACGTGTGTAGACAGAGACGTGCCGCACGTCGCTCGTGCAAAGAGTTCCGAGACGCCACGGAAATAATAACAATCATTCTCATCGTCATGGTAAAAAAGAAATGACACCGGTAAAATGTTTGAGGTGACATCACCTCATCACTAGCTCATGGTAAAATACCTCATCGCTGACTTTATCAGAGGGCAAGTGACCTGAATTACGAAGTCACGTGACAAATTACGTCACCCCTGGTATAAAACTCACCAGTAGCTTTTTAGGTGACAATTTACCTCATCGCTGGCTTTGTCGGGCAGTAAATAACCTAATCGTTAGCTTTGCAAGATGGCAACGGGGCCTAATCATGAGTTCTGTCAGGTGACACATCGCCTCCTGACTGGCTTTGTCCGATGCCAAGTGAACTCGGTGACCTCGTCGTCATCGTCAAAGTGACACATTTACCACTTCGTCAGGTGACAAACGACGCAGGCGAGGCCTCGCAACACCTCGCGAACCGCGAATAAATTGCGCTTGAGGGTCTCTTGAAATATAAATTTTTTTTAAGTATTAAACGATAACAGCAAGAAACCTTAAGACGCCAACGCGAACTTGAAACGGAGCGGGTTATAATTAAAGCGGTGTCGCATTTATTTATTTATTTACCTGTCCCTTATATTTAGCCGGGGGGCGTTGGCGCGAGATGCCGCGTCTCTGCTGGCGTGCGATCCGGGGGGGCCGGGGGGGGCGGGGGGAGGGGGGGGCAGGGGGAGCCAGGGGGGGGGGGCGACCTCTCATTCGACCCAGCAGGGGCCGCGTCGGGTCAAAGGGACGCCATCGTCGCGACACGGGGGGGCGGGGGGGGGGAACGATCGGAGGAGGCACGGGGGGCCCTCGCGTGACGCCGAAGCCCGCCCACTCGACCCTCCGTGGCGCCCGTCCCGAGATGCCGGGAACCAATCGGGGATCGGCGCTCCCGCGCGACACGACTGGACGACGCGGGGTGGGGAGGGGTCCAACTGCACTGGACGTCTGTGACAAAAGAGCTTTGGAGCTCATCGGATTCCTCCGGCATGAATAAATAAGTGTTCTAGTGTTCTAAAGGTTCCCAACACCGGGGAAGCCTCAACCGCAGCTGCTCGGCAACGGCTTCGTCCTGCCGAGACGACAGCGGCTCCTCCGTCAAACAGAACGGCGACCGCACAGATGACCCCCCCCCCCCGCCGCCAACGCATTCGTCAATTACACCGCAACCTCAAAAGGAAAAAATAAAAGTGGATGATAGGTGACGTTTAAAGCCATGGCCGTTCTTCGTCGCACACGAATGGCGAGCATGGTGGGATATTGACGAGCCCACGCCGCGTTGTCCAACGTGTGTTGCATTCATGCAGAAGCGCACAAGACAAAAAGACAAAGATCCCCCGTGAAGCCTTAACAGACTATTGGGGCAAGTGCTGTTAGCGAGCAGCACCTATGAAGGCTGGAACAGCGCACGAGGGGGTGGGTAGCCAGCACCACGCCCAGCCGCCGTTGTCTCTCCGGTGGCGATGTTTACTAAACACTGCGCCAGGTACTCATTTGAGGCTGAGTCGACCTAGGGGAGGCCCAGGACCGGTTCAGATAATCGTCACCACCGGTGTTGGCCGTGAGCGGGAATCGAACTCGGGTCCGCTGCGCGGCGCGATAACCGTTCCACTTCCGCTCACACACAGACACGCACCGCAGATGTCTACACGCGGACACGACGGGCACGTGAACATCGCTGCCACCCATCAAACTCCCTCTCGCCCGGCGCCTCGTGTGTGTACAGTACGACGGCGGGGATGGCGGTGGTAAGCGGCGGCTCGGCAACCTGCCTCAGAAAGTGCGCGCCGCGTTTCCCCCCGGAGGAGGGAAAACCGCATCTCATCGATCGCTCCGGTTACCCCGAGGGGAAAAATCAAATCGCTTCGCTCGGGTCAGATGACGACGCCATTACAGGGTGGGGGCGAGGGGGCGGGGGGGGGGCTCAATTAACTTACTCCACGTGAGTCGACGGCCGCGTACATGATGTCCATCCAGCCCTTGAACGTCGCCTACGGTGAAAGGGGCAAAGGCGAGAGGTTTAGTTGGGTTGGGGTGGCGGTGGGGAGGGGGCGTAGGGGGGCAGGGGCGGCACTTTTTATTCAGCATCCCTTGCCGAAAGGGATATCCCCCAAAGGCGCGATGGTTGACGCTTGCCAGGCTTGCAATCAAGACAATGAACACAACCGCCGCCACCTTCTCCCCCGTCGCTACACCAAGGAGCGGCAGCCCCCCGCCGTCTGGAAAGCGGGGCCATCATCATCGTCATCCCGCTGCTGCTGCAAACTCGCAGCACCAGCGGCGTTCACTCCGCACCGACTTTTGAGAGACACTCAAAAGGCCCCAACTCTATCACCTCGGAGCGACGCCTTAGATACGGTCGTTCACGTCCGTGAATTATTGCGAGCGTTACAAATGAGCATTTAAAAAAATCATCATTATCGCGATCCACGGGCAGATAGCCTGTAGGTGTCCACTGCAACATCTCGCCATTTGTTTCCACTTTCCTCCGTCTCTGTGGCAATGTGCTCAACCGGTGCCACATCTTTCCGGCACCAATCTCTTACGATGTCATCGCCACGCCATTCTTCGTCTTCCTCTCATTCCGGTTCCTTCCATTTCCCCCCGAACAACGCACTTTTGATTTCCCCGTTGTTGTCCGTCCTACACGTGTCTCCAAACGGTGCCGGTTTCCCTCACTATCATTACATTAATTTTAAACGGTAACATTTGTTGTTATTCACAAGAAGCCAGTGAAGAACACTCACGACTTGGAGGAGGGCCAGGTAGCCGAAGCCAACGTTGTCGTAGTTGACCTTGACGTTGAGCCAGCGCGCCTCCTGAGTGCTCTGTTTGAGCACCATACAATCGGAATAGTTGTTGACCACCTCGGGCAGGAAGCGGCTGCCGTCCGTCGTGTTCATGCAGTAGTAGTACTTCCCCGCAAACAGGTTGACGCCCATGATGCTGAAGATGAGCCAGAAGATGAGGCACACGAGCAGCACGTTCATGATGGACGGGATGGCTCCCACCAGCGCGTTCACCACCACCTGGAGCACACGGACACCGGAGGAGGGAGGAGGAGGGGGGAGGAAAGGGATTGAGGGAGGGAGGGAGGAGGGGGGAGAAGAAGGGGAAAAATGGAGGGAGGTGAGAAAGGGAGGGAGGGAGGAGGGGGGAGAAGGTGATAAAAGGAGGGGTAAAAAGGGAACAAAACAATATTTACAAAAGTTGTGTCACGAAGCACCACAGACACGTCAATTAGACATTGATAGGCAGACAGACTGGTCTCTGATGGGATCCCCAGATAATGGACAGATATGAAATCAACACACCAAATCAGTAAGGCGTCTGGGAGTAATTACAGGGCAATATGAGTTGTTGTTTGTATTTACGCGCCACAGCCGACGCGGCATCGCTAAACAAATGGTGTGACAATTCCCAAGGATTCTAACGATCATCTCCACGCAGGGCCATCCATGGGCAGGGGGGGGGGGGGCAGGACAAACCCCACCGTGTGGACGCCTTCAAACTAAACCGGAAGTATTACATCCGACACCGTGGGGGGCCCGGGGTGGTCGCATTGATTCTCCGTACACCCTAGATACACCCTAGGGACGGCCCTGCCTCCACCACTCGGTGGCGTGGGCATGGCGCTGCTACCACCCCCCAAAGCTCCCCCTCCACCCCCCCACCTCCAATCTCAGCCTCTCAAGTCGACGGAGAAATTTAAAATGAAATTGGGTCAACGCCTGCGAGCGTTTCATCGCGGCGGGTCGGCTGCGAGGAATTATTTTTGGCGAGCGCCGTTGAATAAGTGAACGTTCGCACGGCAGCGCACGAAGCGGCGGCGCGGAGACGGTGAAGCGGCACGACCGCCACGGTCTCCGTGACCCCCGCGTGACCCCCACAACCCCCACGGCCACCGTGACCCCCACGACCGCCGCGACCCCCACGACCGCCACGACCCCAACAACCGCCACGACCACCACCACTCTGTCCCACAGACAAGTTTTTTTTGGGGGGGGAGGGGAGGTGAATTCTCTTCTTGACTATGGTCCTTAAATGATGTGCAACACCTTTTAAATGTCGCCTTCCTCCAATGTGTTTGCTACTCGGGCGTCTGCAGCATTTACGATCCGTTCCCCGCTGTAACTTCCTTATTTTTTACGACCGAGGTCCTCCTCGGGTCATTCACGTAAAACAGCTCACGGCTGAATGTTTCTTACCGGCGTCAACAAACGCGCGAACAAATCAAGTCAACGAACGACACTGCGTCGCACGCGTGTAGATACGAGGCCTTGTTCGGACTTTGTTTGAAGGACATGACAATGACCGTGGTGAGGAAGACCTGATGGGAATTTTGGAAGGAGGATCTCAGAAGAAGGACTTGGTCAGATAACAGATCAGAAGGACACCTTGGTTCGGAACAAATCAGAAGGAGGACGTTTGATGGAGGACATCAGAAGGAAGACATCAGGAGGACAATGGAAGGAGGACAACAAAAGGAGGACAACGGAAGGAGGCCCTCTGATGCGACGGAGCCTTACCCGCATGCCTTCAAAGCGAGACAGAGCACGGAGAGGTCGCAGGGCCCTGAGCGTACGCAGGGACTTGATGGCTCCGAGCTCCGAGTAGCCCATGGCGGTTGCCGCGAGGCTCACCAGGGACACCTGGGGCGAGAAGATGACGGGGGAGGGGTGAGACACGGGGAGTCGGGGGGTAACAACACACTGTGCGTGAAACCTACAATCCCTCTACATTGATTCCACATTAGGATGACCGACTAAACCGAATAACGCTTTTGTATTCATGCAACCAGCGGTGTAAAATCCTCGGATTGTATCGCTCGACGAGCATGAAAACCACGACCGTTAAAAACCGACAGGGTGATTGGACGATTTGTACGGAAGCGACGACATGAGGGATGCGAACTCGCTCGCAGAACAGGCAGACACGCCAGCCTTCACGCGAGACTCAAACGCGGCCGAGGAATCCACCACGTTCACAAAGTTACGGGGGATGGAATTTGCAGGCCTTGCGAGCCGCACCAGAATACGATGTAAAACAGAAGTAACTATTTCACGGTAACTTCCCGATTAGAGCCGTCTGTGATTGTTCGGACGGAATCCGTCGCACGCGGCTTATTGCGTGGTAACTTCCCGATTGTAACCGTCTGTGATTGGACGGGATCCATCACGTGTTGTTTATTTCAACTTCCTTCAATTCTGGCTAATCGCCTGATGATGCTGGTTGTTGTAATCGCCCGCAAAACGTCACGGTACTGGAATTGTAAATGTTGTAAGAACTAAAAAATGTTTTACGTGACAAACCTTCGTGATTGCCCCCCCTCCCCCCCCCGTTAATTATGAAAGATATCGTATTCATTAATTTAATGAATATTAAAATTACTCGTACATTTAGACTCATTTGCCCCTCGTATTTTATTTTAGTCTTCTGCCAGCACGAGGTTATACCGCGCGATGACTCTCCATCCGGTCCGCATACCGGCGAGCACAGCACCCCACTTGAAATTGTGACTTTGTGAGGGGTGCGAGGGAGTCGCGGTGTGGGGAAGGGTGCGAAGGGTGTGAGGGTGTGGAATGCCGGCGAAGCGTTGGGTGGTGTGGAGGCGTTGAGGCATGGATCACACGGGCGTGTGGAAGGGGCGGGGGAGGGTACGCCCGAGATGATTTATTTGCGAGGGAGAGACGTTAATGCCAGCGGGGATTCCCTTCCGCCCGCGCTGACGCGAGCAAGAAACTGCGGGGCTGCGCCTGCAGCTGCGCCGAGACAACGCAACTCGCGTGCAGTTCTCCCCTCTCCTGCTATTGTCAAACATCCTTCTTATTAAACACGCCCCGGTTTTTGTTTGGTACATTCTTTTGTATTGATTATTTAGTTTATTCTCTTTTTGATTTCGTACATTGTTTTTTTACTCGGGCCCCACGTGGGCGACCTTAACGATGGGGAGGCGTCGGGAGGTTGCCCGGCGCACGGCGGGGCCTGGCGGTCGTGCCGCCACTTCGCTACGTACGTCCACGATGAGGAAGTCGAGCCAGCACCACGCGTTGGTGAAGTACGTGTGGAAGCCGTAGGCCACCCACTTGAGCAGCATCTCCATCACGAAGATGTAGGAGAACACCTTGTCGGCGTATTCCAGCACCGTCTTGATCATCCTGCGCTGGTCGATGTAGATGTCTTCGAACGCCTGCGCAGAGCGGTCTCCAGTTAGCTACTTGTGACCCGCCCGCTCGCCCGCCCGCTCGCTTACCGGCATAGACACTTCAATGCAAAGTAAAGGCGCACTCACGCCACTGCTGGCGGAACAGGGCTCCGCGAGAGGAAGACCTACAGAGACCCCGTGAAGGGTGTTTGGCCTAGTCTTCTACTACGCACACTTTACACCACCGCACGTAACCTGCCTCGCGACTAACCGTGGGTGTACCCGTTGGTACTGCTGTGTGGACAGATGCGGGTGGGGGAGGGGGCGAGATTGAATCGATCGTGACGAACTGTGGATTGGCAGCGTGCGACCTGTGGCACCACGGCCACCTTCCGTCATGGAAATCGCAATTTGAAACAATGCGATGAGAAAATCGCAAAGGCTGCGATTTTTCGCGATTTGAAAAGTCCTATTACTTTCTTATTGGAATTGTTTTATTTTTTATAATTATAAATATATTTATTTAAACTTAACAATTATTGTGTTTAATTGTTCTATTTCAATTAAAACATTTTAATAAATACATGTTAGAAGAAATTAATATCTTTTAAGTTCTCATCCTTGCATGAGAATATATAGAGCAGTTCATATTTTGATGGTATCATGTGGTAATGCCCCATCGCATGTTTTACATCTATTACACAGTGAATATTGAACAGAAGCTTGTCTTTAAAATGTAATCGCAATATCTGTCAGAAAACTCGCAATTAGATATTTTCCACAAATCATTCAGCCCTAGTCTTGACACTCGGTAACACTCCTCCGAGCTCAACGAAGCCGAGTTCGATTCCCGGCCAGGGTTGAACGTAAAGTGGCGAGTGTCCATCCTGAGCCTCCGCGTCGCCGACTTTGACCTCAGAACGCCGTGGTGGTGCACCGTCGCGGTGCTGCGACTGTCTCTCGCAGCGCTTCGGAAGGCCAGTGCTCTCACCAGCGCGCCGCTGCTCATCAGGATCATGAAGACGATGAACGTCTCGAACCAGTTGTGCTCGACGATGCGGAAGCAGGCGCGGCGCAGCGTCCACCAGACGAGGCCGCGTCCGCTCTCCACGTCCACGTCGCAGATCGGGTGGCGACGCACAAACTCTGCCGGGCGTTACCGATTGGCGTGAGCATTCGGCATTTGTCCGTTGTCCGTCACGTGTTGTTTTAGTTTTGTTACGTGAGCGTCACAATAACTCTAGCAAATATGGGACGATATGAACGAATCTTCAGTGCGAAGTTGTCTTGCTGTTAGGGAGTTACCACGTGGAAAGCCGGTTAAAATTGGAAACAGTGGAAAACAAGTCAGCATTTAATCACTTTCCAGCTAAGGTCGAAAGCGTTCATGCATTAGCTGTGTCCTTCTGTCAGCCTGCCCAACAATCTGTCTATTTGTAACGTGGGGTCACAATTACTATGTCGTAAAGGTGATCAGGCACCGAATATCTGGGAGGCTGAATTATCAGACCAACTGAGCTAAATAGCTCTTTTTCAGAAGCGACCTGGCCACAGATGATAGCTCAATGACGAGGCTTATCACATGGAAATTTATAGCAGCCAAATACTCTAAACGCACGTTTATAAAATGTAGAGGGAAAATCCAAAGGACCCAGACAAAAATCAACGCGATCTCGAGAAGAACACGCAAACGCCAAATATACAGGCATCAGAGTCGGGATTGAAACCACGACCTCCTGTATACGAGGTGAGGGAGTTAACATCTCGCCACCGTGGCACGCCATAGGGGCTCTCTCGAGCTACCGCAGGCGAAGGCTCTACCACCAGCGCTTTCACCGAACCGGTAACGGGTGGCGAGCTGAAAGCCCCTCCCTCAACTCCACCAATCCCTGCCCACTATTACGTAGACACACCCACTCAGTCACTAGCCCTCCTCAGCCTTTTGTGTCAGCTCCGCCCACTACTCTGGCAGCCCCGCCCACTACTAAGGTAGCTCCACCCACTACTCTGGCAGCTCCGCCCACTACTCCGGTAGCTCCACCCACTACTCAGGTAGCCCCACCCACTACTCAGATAGCTCCACCCACTACTCTGGCAGCCCCACCCACTACTCAGATAGCTCCACCCACTACTCTGATAGCTCCACCCACTACTCAGATAGCTCCACCCACTACTCAGGTAGCCCCACCCACTACTAAGGCAGCTCCGCCCACTACTCAGGTAGCTCCACCCACTACTAAGGCAGCTCCGCCCACTACTCTGGCGGCTCCGCCCACTACTCTGGTGGCTCCGCCCTTTGCCGCGGTAAGATTTTAAAGGGGCGACAAAATCCTGATTTTCACAAAAGCTTCGGTGTGTGTGTGTACGTTGAACTTCTTTTGCACCACCGTACGTAGCCAACCGTGTTAATCGGAGGTGTGGGGCGGGGGGGAAGGACAACAAGCTAACACGCAAAAATCAGTTCGCATCTAGACGCCGTATGAATCTGTGAGGGCTCCGGTACTGTTCCGGCTAAACCAGGACGTTTGGCAGCCTTACCATCGGTGAAGCAGCCGAGGGGCCCCTCCTCCTGCTCCTCGGTATCCAGCGCCTCCTCGACCACGTCATTGGGAGCCAGGTCCACGGTACTTGCCTCCGACGAGCTGCCCTCGTGACCGTATCTCTGCACGAAGCACAAAGACCCCCCCCCCCCCGTATAGCTTTTTTACGGACTGTTGGGGCAAGTCCTGTGAGATAGTAGCACCTGTGAAGGCTGGAACGATGCACGATGGGGTGGGTGGCCAGCACCACGCCCGGTCACCTTTGTCTCCCCAGTGGTCTATGTTGACACTCCGCACCAGGTACTATTTTTGAGGCTGAGTCGACCTAGGGAAGGCCCAGGACCAGTTCAGACAATCGTCACTGATGTTGGCCGTGAGCTGGAATCGAAACGGGGTGGCCGAGTTCGTCGCGCATCACGCTAATCGCTGCACTACCACAACCACCACCACAAGCACACACACAGACAGGTCCCTTGTTCAGTCTCGTTTAAACTGCAGGAGCAAGACATGTCAGCGGGTGCCGATCAAGGCAGGTGCTACATTTTAGGGAGGAGCGCACTGCGCTACGAACCCGGCAGCCTGTGTTCGATTTCCGGCCTTGGGCTTCCCCGACTTCAACTCGGCCACCAATGAGTACCTGGGGCATTTTGTGAACGGCAGCAGAAGGGAACCCAAGGCGGCCGGGCGGGTGGGCGCAATGATGGCCACCCACCACATACCCGTGCTGGCCTCAACAGGGTGCTGCCTCAAGCGAACGCGAGGGCCTCCTCTCGTGCTCACCTTCTTCTTCACGCCATCCACTAGCGACAACGACGACGAGGAGGTCGACGAGGACGAGCTGCTCGAAGCTCGGCGCTCCAACTCGGCCTCCAGCTTGGCTATCGGCACTCGCACCGGAAGGACGGCATTCGCCAGGAGCCCCGCTCGCTCCCCGTCCGTGGCAGGCGACCCCTTGGTATCGTCGCCGGTTCCCTGCCCGTTACTCTGCAGGGTCTCCATCTCGAGCGCCGTGTGGTTCCGGACGCAGTTGTCGGACTTGTCCGGCAGTTTCCCCTCTTCGAGAGCGGCGGCGTCATTGCCGTTGCTGTCGCTGCCGTCGGCGCCGGGGCCGTCGCTCTTGATGCACTTGGCGAAAACTCCCCGCACGTAGCCCTTCATGAACGCGACACCACGCTCGATGCGCGCGATGGCGATCTGCAGGCTGTTGGCTTCGTTGTCGTCGTCGCTGGCCGATAGGCCGCTGAACGAGCTGAGCAGCAGGGCCAGGAAGAGGTTGAGGAGCTGATGGGTTTCGGATGAAGGGGGCAAGGGGGGGGTTGGAAAGAAGAGATGTCGGTCAAAGCCAGTGAACGATCGTCAGCGAAACGGTTGCTGTCTGTTTGCTGTTGTCGTTGGTGTCGTCGTCGTATTTGTCGCTGTTGGTTTAGTTGTCGATGTATATACGTATGTTCAACTTCTTTCGCACCATACGCAGCCAACTGTGTTAACGGGAAGTGCCGGAATAAGTGCATATTTCCGAGAGAGACCTGCGCATTTTCGTAGTACAGGGAGCAACGATTGATATGCGTTTCGCAATTAAGTATTTTACGAGGTGCAGGGAAAGGACAACAAACTGTCATCGTCGTCATCATCATCATCAGCCTTTGCCATGGATGACGTCGTCGCGGTTATAATGGGCATAATTGTCAGAATAATTTCTAGCAATCGTCATTGTGCCTGACGCCACGTGAAATATGTCCACACCAACACTGGTGAAACTTACCGGCGGGGTCACGTGACGTGTCACATGCTGCTAAACCCTGATTGGCTGCTGGTTCACTCAACACCCCCACCCACCGGAAGTGGTCATTATGCGCCATTAGGCGACCCTGCCGACATCACTAATTTGAGAATAAGAACTGGACAAATGTTTTGTCATAAAGGCCCTCCACCACCCGACACTCGCTATTGTCCCCGCCCACCAATTCCTCTTCCTGTTGCGCGTACACTCCACACCGCCCCCCGCCCCGATTCCACAACGCCCCCACTCCGCACCAACCACTATTCACTCGCACTGTCTCACGCGCATCAACTCGGCTCGAGCCCAGAGTTGCCAAGACCCACGCGAGAATGAAAGCGCCAATGTGCCTTGAAAACTAAAAACACGCCCAAAACAAGCCCGGGGCCTGTAGCCGGAATAGAGGGCGGGGCTCTCAAGATAAAGGAAGTGTGGCCAAAACGGGGAGGGGGCGGGGCCTAAACAGGACATGGGTGGGGCCTAAACAGGAAATGGGTGGGGTCTAAACAGGAAATGGGTGGGTCCTAAACAAGAAATGGGTGGGGCCTAAACAGGAAATGGGTGGGGCCTAAACAGGAAACGGGTGGGGCCTAAACAGGAAATGGGTGGGGCCTAAACAGGAAGATGGCAGGGCCTGAACAAGGAAAGGGCTGGCCTAAATATGAAGGGTGTAGGCCTAAACAAGAAGGGGGTTGGGCTTGAAGAGGAGGCCTAAATAGAGGACTTCCAATTAAAACAGCAGGGCCCCTTAAAAATCCGCAAACTCGTAGCTCTCAAAATATGACACCGACTTTGTAAACAAATAAACCCCAACTCGACAATGAGAGCTTCGACCATGAACTTCCCACGACGAAAAGACAGTCAAATGAGCGCAGCAGGCATCAACAAAGTAATGCTGCAGACGCGGCCACAAGCCAACTGGTTACAAATTATAATAGAGGCTGCGAAAGCCTTCGTGTTAAGGTTCTAAATGGTTCCCTGTGGCATCAGGCCCGGCTCCAGCTCCTCTCTAATTGGGGGTCCAAAGAGACATTTGGTGGTTCAGGGCTCACCGACTCCAGCACCTTCCCCAGCACCCTCCTAACGCTGACCCTGCGTGCCACGATGAAGTTCTCCCCGTGCCAACAACAGCTGGGGGAGGTCACGAAATATTACATTGCCATGGTGGTGAGATGTTAACTACCTCGCCTCGTATAAATGAGGTCATGGGTTCGATTCCTGACCATGACGCCTGTATATTTGAAGATTGCACATCTCTCTCTCTCCCCGTGGTCACATTGATTTTTCTCCGGGTCCTCCCCTTTTTCCATCCACATTTATAATCAAATTCACGCGTTTAGATTATTCGGCTGCTATAAATGTCCAAGTGATCATAAGCCACTTTGTTGAGCGATCATTTGTGATTGCCAGGAAAGAGCTACTACATAGCTCAGTGGGCCTTCATCATCATCACGAATCATGGGCAGATAGCCCGTAAGTGTCCACTGCACATTTCGTCATTTCTTTCCACTTTCCTCCATCTCGTGCCAATACGCTCAAATAGCGCCACATCTTTCTGGCGCCAATCTCTTACGTCGACCAACCTCTAATGTCGGTGAGCCATTTCAGTGAGCTGGTAAAAGTAAAAAAAAAACAATTTTAAATGAGCATCGATCACCGCCATGGAGCTTTTTGCCAACGCACCACAAGGTTGCCGATGACCATGACCATCATGAAGACGATGAGGCACATGGTCTGGCCCGCCACCTCCATGCAGTCCCACATGGTCTCGATCCACTCGCCGCAGAGCACGCGGAACACGATGAGGAACGAGTGGAAGAAGTCGTGCATGTGCCAGCGCGGCAGCACACACTCGTCGTTGATCTTGCACACGCACTCCTTGTAGTTCTTGCCGAAGAGCTGCATGCCGACGACGGCGAAGATGAAGACAATGATGGCGAGCACCAGCGTCAGGTTGCCCAGGGCGCCCACAGAGTTGCCGATGATCTTGATGAGCATGTTGAGCGTCGGCCATGACTTGGCCAGCTTGAACACTCGCATCTGGATTGAGATGAAAAAAATACAATAAAAAGTGGAAGAGTTGTATGCACATATGTATGCTCAACTTCCTTCGCACAGTATGTATATACAACTGCGCTAATCGGAGGTGCAGAGGAAGGGCACCACACTAAACACAAAAAGCAGTTTTATGGCTCCAGTGGCTTCCTCACATCGGAAGAAAGAGCATTCCAGATGGCCTCAGCAGCACACCTGAAAGCGTACGATGTGGTGACCGTCTTTGTTCGATGGCTAGCCAAAAGCCATGGCGAGGATTGCCAAAGTTTCGCGTGATGGTATAACGCGTAGTACGGGTTTTTGCGGCCGATGTTACGACTTGTACCCATGTATTTATTTTCGGGGCGCCACGCGGCGAACTGACCAAATTGTGTATCGTAAAAAACCCTCCGGCCCCTGACACGGCCACCAAAACAAATTCGTCGTCACGCGTGCCCAGCGCTTAACACGCTAAATTGTTGTTGTTTCAGCTCGCCGGTGAGTTTGAACAATAATTCTCAACAACCAAATGTAACAATTAGATGCGACGTTCCGTTTGAAACTATGTCAAACCGCTGTCAGGATAGCCCATTCAATCAAAGACTGTGCAACAACAATAACAACAACAACAACAAAACCCATCACATGAAATTTGGTTCCACACTGAATTTGGTGAAGATTCCAGCTCTGAGACTTAAATATGGGTTTTACCGTTGCGCGTTAAACGTTACTCTCGGCGACGGTGTGGGTGTGGAAAGTGCTGCCCCGTACTTTGTCACTTGAAGAAGGTATCTCAAGAGGTAGTTCTGCGATATCCACTTTCCTCGGGCCATTGGCTAATACGAAGGGGTCGCACCTGTTTTGCGAGCGATCTGAGCGGATTCTTCATCGAACGGGGCGACGCCGGTGGCACAATCGGGGAGGAAACGACGCAAATATTTACGATTAAAGTAAATGGCCAAGACCGGTAAAACTGGTGTGAACAGATCGCGAGCGCGCACGCAGTTTCACGAGCGAACGATCGTGCGGGCGCTTGGGCGACCGTGCGAAAACAACCACCACGCAAAGTGAGCAGTAGCTTGAGTGAGTGGGTTTGCCTGCTGTGCGAGTGTGCGAGCGAGTGAACGTCAGCGGTTCAAAGTGGGAGCGTTTGAGCGAGCGTGTGAAGGGAAATCACGCTTGCGAGAAGACTGAGCGTTTGATGGAGTGAGCGTCACAGGGAGTAAATGCACGAGGGTGTGTGGATGTGCGTGTTGAGCGAGGTGCTCGCTAAAGAAGCACTTGCCCTGAAAGTTTGTTAAGGCTATACGGGGGGGGGGATCTTTGTCTTTGCCTTGCGTGAGCGAGCACATTTTTATTCTGTAATTAATTTAAGCGACGAATGAGCCGCGGTTTTTCGTCCGATCGGCGAAGGAAAAAGAAAAAACTGCCAGCTGCGTTTGCGAAAAAAATTTACAGGGCGCTTCAAAAAAACGTTAACACTTACACGGGACTATCGTTTTTAAAGGAAAAAGAACGAATAATAAATACACTGTAACATGATAACAAATGGATGTCAATAGCTTCAAAAAGTCAAAGAGTCTCCCACTTGTCCGCCATCGCTGTCAACACGTTGCCTGGAATCTTCTCCAGGTGGTCTCCAGAGGCCGGAGGCGGCACATTTCACGTGGCGTTGTTGCAAATTCTCAGAAGTGTTCACATTTATTCAGAAGCCACCCTGTGTATACGTGTATATACTCTGCTCTCCTCTCACGTTGCCTCGCTCGTCCGCCCCGGCGTGTGTCGCGAGCTCGCCCAGGTGAGGGGCTCGGGTAACACGAAACGCCCTTTGCCTTGTAACCCAGCCGCCCGGCTAATTGCGCCCGTTCACGATATTTCACCCGACACTAAACGTCGTCGTCACTTTTTTTGCAACGCCCGTTCGGCCTTTTGTTTTTGCCTTCACGCGAGAACGCCGCGGAGAATGGGCACTGGAGAAAGTGCTCACGGCTCAAACTCAAATAATCATCATAATAATGATAGACGAGGTAAAGGCGCGGCCCTGAAAGTGCTTGCTCACGCTCACTGCTGCCACAGAGGCCCTCTTGACTAACACGGGCATGGCTCGGAGGTCCTCATCATCAGCGGCCTGAAAAAATGCCTGTGAATTAACGAGAGTGGAACGTAACGCATATGCTGTAGCACGGATGTGTCCCCACGCGAGAGCATTCGCTGGAGGGAGCTCCGTCTAGAAGAGCCCTTCTTCCTAACCTTTTGGTTCCCGAACCACCGGTTGGCTTTCTAGGCCGTGGGAAATGGTCCGCTGTTATATTTACAGACATTAATACCAACAGTAACAAACGAACACATCCTGGCTCAAACACCATCAGCCGTCTCATTCGTGCGAGTAAACAAAAATCAACTTCAGTATTCGGCTGTTGCGCACTATGGCAGCAGCAATGTGTTGAGGAGCTATAGATGCCAATGCGGAGGTATGCTGCTGGTCACGACGAGAGGGCTTCAACAGACATGCGTGTCGTGTCACTGTTCATTCTCCTCCTCCTCTTCCGTCGAATGAGAGCAGATCACAGTGGGTTTACTGCGGGGTTCATAGCTTGGGTTGCATGGGCACAGTCGCATGACTGTGGCTTTTCATTATTGCATTTCTAGAAGTTTCTCTCTATGAGTCTCTATGTGTCTCTATCGGTTCTAGATTTGAAGCTTTCGTGACTGCAATGATTCATATTCTTAGGTTTTTTCGGTAAAGTCACGTAGGTAAAAAATTTAAATTAATAAAAGTAAAATAAAAATAAAATAAAAATCACGACGTTTCGGAGGTAAAACAAGCTTCCGTCTTCAGGTGGAACGGAAGCCTGTGTTGCCTCCGAAACGTCGTGATTTTTATTTCATTTTTATTTTACTTTTATTAATTTAAATTTTTTACCTAAGTGACTTTACCGAAAAAACCTAAGAATATGTCTCTATGGGTCTCTAGCTCCATGACGGTGTATCTCATATGTGTCTCTGTGGGCTTACTATATGGGTCCATGGTTTGGAGCACATGGCCACAATCGCAATGAGATGTTGCGCATCGACCTGCTGACATTCTGATGTCGTTGATGGTTAGACCATCAGTGTCTACGAGGACGAGGAGGTGGAGGAAGAATACCCAAGCCAAGAGGAGCTGTGATGATATAAGAAGAGGTTTTATCCTTTCTGACAATAAAACAGCTGTGTTAAGAGATGTTAACACACCAAACAGAAACGTGTTGCAAGGAATCCTGTCTGCAAGAAAGGTCCCATGACGTGTGATGGTGTTTGGGTCTCGAATGGGGCCGTCCACGTTGTTCTATTCTGTTCGCAATGGTTTTCATGGCTTTTCAATGAACACTTCACAACACTCTTATGAGTTTTTGTTTCAAATATGCACTTTCAATAGGAGCCCGGTGCCGAGCACAAACTGTGACGTGAAGGCGGGGAACAAAAAAGTCCGCGGACCTCGGTCCCGAACACTAGGCACCTATACTCTTTGGTTTTTTCGGTAAAGTCACGTAGCTAAAAAAATAATAAAAATGAAAACAACTAAATAAAATCACAAAATAAAATAGTTATTTCTTTAATTTGTGATTTCATTTAGTTGTTTCCATTTGTATTATTTTTTACCTACGTGAACCGAAGAATATAGATCCTTGCAGTCACGAAAACTTCAAATCTAGAACTACGCACCTAGCCTTAAAGTAGGGCGCTGAAGGGTACTTGTTGATATTTGACAGACGCGTGTTATTTTGGCGCAAGGTGCTACGAGGAAATCCGCTGACGGGTGAGAGCGGTGCGTGAGTTGAGAACGATCGGCGAAGCGCGGCCCTCGAGGGTGCTGCTTGGCCCCCACGCTCCCTCCCCGCACGTGCTTGTCACGCTGCGCAGAAGACGTGCAAGAACCCCACGGTTTACCCCACCGCACGCAACCCGGCGAGCGACCAAGCGTGTTCGCACGCAGTGACTCTGCTGGGTGGGCGGAAGCGAGGCGGGAGGAAGGGGGGTTTAAGAAGCTCGCACTGTTGACAGTGCCGGATTAAGCTAGTGCGCGGGGCCTGTCGCATATGTTATAAAGGGGCCCTAAATAAAATATTTTCTAACATTTTATTTTTTTCATTTGCTATACAGCCAGATAATACGACAAATCTCTAACCTTAAACACCCAGTCGTTCGTAAAAGATGAAGGCGGTATAGTACTATAGTAATAGAGCAAGTGCAGAATCACTGAACCGGAATTGATAGCTTGAAAGCATTTCGCGCCGGGGCCCTTGAAAGTTCGGGGCCCGTAGCATGTGTAGCTACTTTTGCTACGAGGATAATCCGGCACTGACTGTTGATCAATCGTTTCAGTCGCCGCGCCGGGAGATTTGATCGAACCGGCGACGTCCGGACCGTGCGTCCAGTGCGCTGACCGCTCCACCGCCGCCTGATGAACTGTTGACGGTTTAATGGAGATTGCGTGCTCACGATGTGCTCATGTTGATTCGAGATGAATGAAGCCAACAGAATGGCATGAACGAAAAAAACGAAACATACAGACGAGATAGCACCCAGCGCCAGCAACACCGCGGTCAACACCACCACGTTCATCACCACCACCAAGGTCAACACCACCACCACTTCTACAATCACCAACATCACCAAGATCACCAGCACCTTGATCATCACCACCAACACCACCCCGATCATCACCACCACCACCACGATCACCGACACCACCACTCTACCACCATCATCGCCATCACCACCATGATCATCAACACCACGACAATCATCACCACCACCACGATTATCACCATCATCAGCATCACCACCACGATCATTGCCACCATCAGAATCACCTCCGCCATCCAACATCATCATCATCATCACTACCGACACACGCCCGAGATCTCGCCAGGCTATGTTTAACTCCCCTCTCCTGTGTCAAGCCTCGGATTTCCATTAATGAAGCTCGGAGCGCAAAGGATCATTTTGTAATCCGAGCGAGGAGAGGGGAAAAAGAGAGGACGAGAGAATGTGTGCACACACGAATAACGTCGACGATCACGCACACGTTCTACCACGACAAGCTCGCTCACGCACGCACAAAGACAAAGATACCCCGTGTGGCCTTTACAGACCATCGGGGCAAGTGCCGTTAGCGAGCGCCACTTATGAAGGCCGGCACAGCACACGAGGGGGCGGTGTGGCTAGTACCAACCCCCGGCCGCCATTGTCTCCGCGGTGTTGATGTTCACGACACAATCCACACGCCGCTGAAGGTGGAGTCGAGTTTGCGACTTCGGCGTGCTGAGAACCATCGCGCCGTTCAGCAGCGCCACGGCGGTTTCCCCAACGTCACTCGACGACTAATTTGAGCAATTTCCAGTTTCATCTAATTTTCAAAGAGAATACGACTATTAAAATGTATGATTAAGTGATACAATAAAAGTAGTCAGAACACAGATATTGATTTCCTTATAAATGTTTTAAAGAATAATACTCAATTACATATCAACGGAGAGTTTATTTACTTTTTTCATCCGAGGAAGTCTCGCTGAATCTTAAGATTATTTTTCAGAGGGCCCTGCCTCTAGGATGCTTGCCCAATTCCTTCATCATCATCATCGTCATTCACGGCCAATCTGTCACCATCTCTCGCGGTGCTGCACTCTAAAAATCCGTCCATTGCGTCCTGTCTTGGTAAATTGTGGGTAATTATAAAAAAGACCCACGGACAACAATCCGGTGGTTGTTTTTTTAACCACTGAAAAAATACAAATAATATAAAGCTATCTGTTGACCATTCCTACCAATGTTTCATTGTGGCATTTGCTTAGTGGACCACATCCTGCCGATGAGTCTCAAAGAAGTCGAAACAAATCCAAGCGTTTTATTTGCCTAATTCAACAGCTGTTGTCGACGAACATTGGTTCTGCTTTTTGTGTTTAGTTTGTTGACTCCCCCGTCCCTGCCGGCAATATCCGATTAGAACGGCTGGCTACGTACGGTGCGAAAGAAATTCAACCTTCACACAGCTGAAAGGTCAATAGGCAATTGGACCGCAACGCCATGGCATTCTATATACGAGTGGCACAACTACACCATTCCGTTACTAATTTTATTCCTTCTTGAGTATCTTTGCGCATGCTGGAAGAAACCTGGGGTGCCCAGAGAACCCACCACCCCACCAAAGACAAAGATCCCCCGTATAGCCTTCGCATACTGTTGGGGCAAGTGCTGTTAGCAAGCAACGCCTGATCTCCCCCCCCCCCCTACACGCGCAAACTCGAGGGAATGGTACGGCCGTGACCGGTTGCGTGCCACTTGCCACGGACCGTACCACTATCGCGCAGGGGAGTCACTGATGTTTCAGCTAGGCCAACCCCCTTGGGTCGGTTATCGAGTCCTTCCCATGCAGCTGCTTAGCAGAGGGGGGGGGGAGTCACATGACATTGCGAGCTTAATCAATGTTTTAATGGGATGAGCCCGGTGTATTTTTAGTAACGAGCTGCAGCATAACCACAGGGTACCCGGACCCCCCCCCCCCCAACCCCTAGCGTGGTTGGATGTGGCCAAGACACAACCGTCACTACCCCCCACCAACCTCCAAGTTTGTCGATGTGGCTAAGAGACACCCACGGAACGTTTAGTTCTGGCTGAACCACTCACAACATTTTGGCCAGTAATACAAACAAAAATCACACTATACTTTTGGGTTTCTCTCCCGTCCACGAGCTAAAGCTGACGACGAGATCGTTACGTACACCGTCAGTAGACTAGCCGGTAGTTTTAATAAAGTACAATTTAATTTAATTCACTCTCCTCATCCATGACGAAGTAGAAAGGGGGGGGGGATGGGGGGGCGAACTGGCATGTAACTAATAACCAGCAGGAAACATTCCCTAGGCAGCCTTCGTGACTGCAGGAATCACTCTTTGGTTTTTTCGGTAAAGTCACGTATAAAAATAAAATAATAAATTAAATAATAGCATACGACGTTTCGATTGCAACACAAGCAATCATCATCAGGTACAACGAAATAGCGACATAGAATATAACCAGAAAACTATAGACAGACACACAAGCAGACAGACATCACCAAGATACATAGAGAGAGCAACCCAGGTACAGAGAGAGGTGATCGTCTCTGTGGGGTGGCCTTAAACAGACAGAGGGGGTTGCTTGTGTTGCAATCGAAACGTCGTATGCTATTATTTAATTTATTATTTTATTTTTATACGTGACTTTACCGAAAAAACTAAAGAGTGATTCCCTAGGCAGTTACGTGGTTAGGTAGGTGAGTATGTGGGTAGGTAAGTGAGTAGTCAGGTAGCTGGGTAGGCAGAAAGGTGGGTAAGCAGAAAGTGAGTAGCTGGGTAGGTGGGTGAGTAGGCAGATACGTGGGTAGGCAGATTGTCAGGTGGGTGAGTTGGCAGGTAGGAGGGTAGGGATATAGAGAGGTCTGCAGATAGGTGGATAGACAGGTACAGTAGGTCAGTAGGCAGCAGAGGTCGCAAACGGGTTTTGATTCCTTACCCGTACCCATACCCGGCCGCACCAGGGTCGCAAACGGGTACCCGTACCCGTACCCTACCCGTACCCGGCCGGGTACGGGTAGGGTATGGGTATCGGGTACCTGATTGTGACCTCTGGGATGAAGCCATGTTGCAGGCGCGGGTGGGTTGATTCTAGGAACTTGAATTGTGAGAAGAGACAAGACGTTGGGAAATGAGTGACAAACAGTTACTCACCAGTGACTCACAGCCTACCCGTACCCGTACCCGGCCGCACCAGGGTCTGGGTATCGGGTACCCGGTTGCGACCTCTGGTAGGCAGGTAGATGGGCCGACAGGTAGGTGAGTAAGTGGGAAGGTGGGTGGGCAGTTAGGTCGGTGGGTGAGTGGTCTGGTAGGTGGGTGGGCTGGTGCGTGAGGCCTACCAGCCTGAAGGAGCGCAGCACGGAGAGGCCCTCCACGTCTGCGAGTCCCAGCTCCATGAGGCTCAGGCTCACGATGATGCTGTCGAAGATGTTCCAGCCCACCTGGAAGTAGTCGTAGGGGTCGAGTGCGATGAGCTTGAGCACCATCTCTGCCGTGAATATCCCAGTGAACACCTTCGTACGCGGCGGGGGGTGGGGTGGAGGGGGGGGGGCAAACAGCGACTCTGGTCAGCCATTCACCTCTCAACGTAGCGCACGGGCGTTCGCAGCCAATATTACGATTCATCACCGCAACAACCAAACGGCTCTCAACCAACTGGTTCCCGTCTAGCGCCAATCCGGAACCGCTAGTAGATGGGCTTAGAGTGGGGAGAATATCGGCACGAGGCACTACCACTGGAGTACAAGACACGCCCGCTCCGTGCGCAACACCGCATCATCACGAGGGCCAGGATCAAATCCCAATGGGCGGACATGGCCAGCCGGGTGCTAAAAATTACTCCCGGAAGAGCGTTCCGGACAGTTCCGGCTGAAAATGAGGCACCGGGCGGAGTGGTTGAATAAGCACGTGAATCGCTCAACGACGCTCCCCGGTACGCGTGGCGGGGAGTGGGGCGGGGGAGTCTTTGACTCGTGGCAGGCGTTGCGAGTGGTATGCCCGTTGGTGGGGGCGGCGACACGGAGGCGCGCGTCCTTTTAGCACCGGTTGCTTTTTCTTTCTCGCCTTCAAGTTGAGGGCAACCCTCTGATCAAGTTGGGCCGGTTATCTTGAGAGTAACTTCCAAATAACAAACAGCACAACTGTATGTATATACACAGCAAAAAAGCTCTATACAGTGATACCTCGGTTCACGAACGCTTCGGTTCACGAACAACTCGGTTCACGAACAGAAAATTTCATAAAAATATGCTCCGGTTCACGAACTCCGCTTCGGTTCACGAACAGGAGCCGCGCCCATTTTTATGCTAATTCCAGGCTGTCACATGGTCGTGACTTACTGTAGGAAGATCGTGGAGAGAAGAGACACAGAAAGAAGTACTGTGAGTACTGTGAAGACACTTTCAGTGACTTTTTGATTTTTGGTGTGCTTTTTAGCACATACAGTACTGTACTGTACTACTGTACTGTACAATACTGTACTTATCGTATTGTATAGTTCACCCGTTTGAGTGCTTACTGTCTCCCACCCGCCTCCCACCTGCCTTCCTCCATGCCAGAAGTCATCTCAAGCAAGGTTAGTGTTCTCTCTTTATACATTACTATACTGTACAGTACTACAGTAATGTGTATTGTCATTTGTTTCATATTTTTGTGCTTCAAAAACCAAAAAAAAGGTCAGAACGGATTAACCGGATTTACATTGAACCCTATGGGAAAATGTGCCTCAGTTCACGACCAGAGTCAGTTCACGAATTAAGTTCGTGAACCGAGGTATCACTGTATCTATGAGACTCATTTGGCAGTTACCAAAATGACGAGACAACAAGCATCTGTTTTAATTGGCAGAAGGGGTACAACCTCAACTTGTTTTTTAAGAAAAAAATATTAAATATCTGTTATCCGGCATCCATGGGCAATGCAGGGTGCCGATTAATCAGACACGCCGGTTATCGGAGGGTTTTACCCCCGCTTCTCCAATAATATACTCTCTTAGAGAGGTACTCACATGGGTGCAGTTTAACTTCTATTTTTGGGGGTGGGCAGGGGTTCGCTTTGTCCATCACATTAGGAATCACGGGTGCATATACAGGGTGCTTAAAACAATGTTAACACTTATATGGGACTGTCGTTTTTAATGGAAAAAGAACGGATAATACCCTGTAAAATTATAACAAATGGATGCTAGTAGCTTCAAAAAGTCAACGAGTCTCCACGTATTCACCATCATTATCAACACGTTGCCTGGAATCTTCTCCAGGTGGTCTCCAGAGCCTGGAGGCACATTTTTTTCAAGCACTCTGTACTTAATTGTTGTATCTCCATTGTAAACTACTGAAAACAAATTAATGAAGGCGTCCAGTTTGGGGGTGGCATTTGCCCCCCCTCCCTCGTGCCCCGTGTCCCCCCCCCACCCAACAAACTCTGCCCATGGGTACTCACCAGTCAGTTGTGGAGCACTCTAAATTGATTGCAGTGAATCAGTGGGGCCCGTTTAAGAGAGTACAGAATAATCTTGATTTGAAGCTTTCGTGACTGCAGGAATCCATACTCTTTGGTTCTTTCGGTAAAGTCACGTAGGTAGAAAATAAAATAAATCACGAAGTTTCGATTGCAACACAAGCAATCATCATCAGGTGGGAAAACCACAGCAAGAATTTTTTTTTTAGAGTACAGAATACAGGAGCACGGTCGCCGCATGCAAAGCGACGTCCCGAAGCTGCCGTGAACAAACGACGGATCCGCGGGAAGCGTACGGCAAGATGCCGGAAGTTCTGTCGACATTGTTTCAGACGAGGCGAACGGAGGGTTTGCATTGCCGCCTGCGACAGATGCCGGTTAATAGAGCGCCCGGATGGTTACGTGCCGGGTAACAGGGCTGTTGCTGTACTGACGTTATGTTCGCAATGAATCGTTTCTTGCATGCAGAAAGATGGAAAATCCGTTGATCAGTGTGGCTGGTTTTCGCTCGGTTAAGTCTCGAACAGCAATGGAACTTTGTGTTCATGATTTAATATTACGAGAGTTATCGTGTACCCCGCACCACCACCATTCACTATAGACAGACGGACAACGCCATCTAAATCATCACCGCCACCAACCACCACACGTCGCCTCATCACCACCACCACCCCCAACATCACCATTACACCACCACCAGCCTCACTACCACCACCACTACCACCCCCAGCCTCACCACCACCTTCAGCCTCATCATCACCACCACCACCAACTACAACCCCCAACCTCACCACCACCACCCCCAGCCTCACCACCACCCCCACCCCTAGCCTCATCACCACCACCACCCGCAGCCTCACTACCACCATCACCATCTCCACCACCCCCAGCCTCACCACCACCACCACCCCCAGCCTCACCACCACCATCACCACCATCACCACCAGCCCCGGCTCTCACCAGATTGCCGACCATCAGGACCTCTTCAAATTCGTGTGAAATGGGGTAGTGCTCCATGGCCATGAAGAGCGTGTTGAGGATGATGCAGATGGTGATGGCCAGGTCGACGAACGGGTCCATGACGAACAACTTTATCAGGTTCTTGAACTTGACCCACAGCGGGCAGCAGTCCCAGATGAGGAAGGTGTTGGCGAACTTGTACCAGACAGGGGGGCACTTCTTCTGCGATTCCTCCAACTCTGCCCCACGGGGAATGACAACGAGCGCGCCGGGCAAGGAGTGAGCGACCCGCGACGTGTGCGTGCCCGGCGCGTCCATAACTACAACTACAAAAAAATGAACTTAGTTTTTTTTATGTTACCAGGTAAGGCCCCCACACTGAGCTACTTAGATCTTTTTCAGAAGCAACCTGAGATTTCCCGGGTTGTCTGTCCCGCCCCTCCCCATCAACCAGGACGCGTTGGGTACATGGGCTCGTCGGTGAATGGGTGAGTGCGTAGATGAGTGGATTCGTGGGTGGATGAGTGGGTGGATGGATAAGTGAATGAGAGAGTAAGTGATTGGGTGGGTGAGTCGCTGGGCGAGTGGGTTATCTGAAATTCACCAAATCTCAGACAAAGCTAAACCACTTAGAACTCAAGTTTCATTGGCCATAATAAATAATCAACGCTGCTGAGATTCAGCACTCCCAGAATGCTGTGGAGTGAAACGTCAGACCATCATTACCCCTTTAACTCTCCGATGAGGTTTTCCGGTCGTACCGCGTGTCGTTTGGCACGGTGTCCGACGTTCCACTCCACGTGCCGTAAACCTTATTCGGGAATTGAAGCTCACACTGGCACATCTGAGCCGAGCTAGTGTGGAGCCCTCCCGAGACACGTGATTTTTTCCCACGAACTCACTTTCGTTCCAGCAAAGCAAGAATCAAACTGCGCTGTGCTGGCCTCACAAGGCATCTGAATCCGGTTTGGGGCCAAGCAGGGCCAGTTAACGACGCAAGGATGCGGCATCACCGCGTCATTCACACACGTCTCGTATGTTACGGACGTACGTACGTGGAACTTCGTTCGCACCACTGTACATAGCCAACCGTGCTAATCGGACGTGTGGGGGAAGGATAACAAACTAAGCACTAAAAGCAGTTCTAAAAAAATATATGGCTTCCTAATATTGGAAGGAAGAACGGTCCAGATGGCTGCAGAAGAGCATCTGAAAGCGTGCCACGTGGTAACCACCGTCTTTGCTCGATAGCTCATTCTATACTCTTAGGCTTTTTCAGTAAAGTCACGTAGGTAAAAAATAATAATAAAATTTATAGAAGTAATAATAGAAATAAAATAATTATTCTATTATTACTTCTATTAATTTTATTTATATTTTTTACCTACGTGACTTTACCGAAAAAGCCTAAGAGTATGAATCCTTGCATTCACGAAAGCTTCACATCTAGAACTCGTTCTATGCCACGGCTTCTACTTCTGCAGGGGGAAAAAAGCCAACCTAGAGCATACGAGCCACTCTCGATCATGCGTGGGGGAGGGGGGGCGCAGATTATCCGAGTTGTGAGAAAAAAACAAAAAAATCTTTACGTAAAAAAAAATATTTCCCGGTTGCCGGAGAGTACCGACGTTCCGCTCCGCGTTCTGGGAGCTCATGTTCGTGGAGCAGAATGCCGTGCCTGTTACCAAGTCTCGTGGGGCCAGGCTAAGGCACCTCCCTCTAGACTAAGGCACCTCAAGGCTGAGGGACCTCAAGGCTGAGGCCCCTCTAGACTAAGGCCCCTCTAGGATTCTTCTGGTTGCACATTAATGTCTGAAACTCAGCAAAGCCACCTTTTAAGCTCTACACGGCCAGGGGAGAGAGATAACAAAAATCACCCAGTTACATCAAAGTTAATATGTATCTTCCACTCTCAAGAAACGATAAAATACAAAAGCGGCGACGTGGCTTCACGGATCGTGGAAGCGACGCCTCTACATCACACAAATGTAAAAGGGGGGGTGGTGGTGGGGGGGGGGGGGTGATACGAATCTTGCCAGCCGAGGAGAGATGAGGGATTTTATCCGGCTATTTTTGGAGGGGTGAGAGTTGGAGTGGTGGGGGGGTAGGAGGCTTCGAACTGGCAGACAGGGAGAGTAGATCGCAGTACGGCAAAGGTGAACTTGAAGACACTACCAAGTGGATTCATACGGCGTCTAGATGCGAACTGCTTTTTGCGTCTTGGTTTGTTGTCAAGCGCACCGCACCTCCAATTATCAGGGTTGCCTATGTACGAAATAGGTTCAACGTACATACATACATGCGAGGCAGTCAGCGAAACGTCTATATGGGTCCCTGTGGGTTTATGGGTCTCTGTGTGAGTCTATTGGTTTCTATGGGTCTATGAGTCTCTATGTAAGTCTATGGGTCCCTGAGTGTTTATGGGTCTCTGTGTGAGTATATAGGTTTCTATGGGTCTACGAGGCTCTATGTAAGTCTATGGGTCCCTGAGGGTTTATGGGTCTCTGTGTGAGTATATAGGTGTCTATGGGTCTACGAGGCTCTATGTAAGTCTATGGGTCCCTGAGGGTTTATGGGTCTCTGTGTGAGTTTATAGGTTTCTATGGGTTTATGAAGCTCTATGTAAGTCTATGGGTCCCTGAGGGTTTATGGGTCTCTGTGTGAGTCTATAGGTTTCTATGGGTCTACGAGGCTCTATGTAAGTCTATGGGTCCCTGAGGGTTTATGGGTCTCTGTGTGAGTCTATAGGTTTCTATGGGTCTATGAGGCTCTATGTAAGTCTATGGGTCCCTGAGGGTTTATGGGTCTCTGTGTGAGTCTATAGGTTTATATGGGTCTATGAAGCTCTACGTAAGTTTATGGGTCCCTGAGGTTTTATGGGTCTCTGTGTGAGTCTATAGGTTTCTATGGGTCTATGAGGCTCGATGTAAGTCTATGGGTCCCTGAGGGTTTATGGGTCTCTGTGTGAGTCTATAGGTTTCTATGGGTCTACGAGGCTCTATGTAAGTCTAAGGGTCCTTGAGGGTTTATGGCAGTGGCGGCTCCTATAAATCTCTCAGGGGGGGCAAATGTCTGGATGATTGATAAGGATAAGGTCCACCCATGCAATGGATAAATTAACAGCTTAAGCATGTAAAGGCAACTTCACTTCTTTAATATTAATGAAAAATAAAGTGACTCTTACAATACATCTTGTTTGTTTCTATACTCACTATTAAAACAAACCACTCAAGTTTATTTTATTAAAGATTCCACTCGGTGGCGATACATTATATTGTTGGATGAAACGTGCTTACGTATGATGACGTAAGCACGTATGATGACGTAAGCATGTTAGGGCGAGCCCTCCCGGAAGCCATAGAGAATGCATTAGAGCGCCCGCCCCCCGGTCGAAAAAAAACATCTTTGAATGTAAGTCTATGGGGCCACTCGGGGCGATTCTCAGCCGGAGTGAAATCGCCCAAAAAGAGGCGGTACTCCACAGAACGTGACATGGCGCTGATTGGACTATATCCAGAGGCTGACAGTGACGGCTAGCGTGACTCTGTGGTTCAATGACATTGGTGGTGCGTCGCCCAATCGCCCTAATGAAGAAACCGCCCCTGGTTTATGGGTCTCTGTGTGAGTATATATGTTTCTATGGGTCTACGAGGCTCTATGTAAGTCTATGGGTCCCTGAGGGTTTATGGGTCTCTGTGCGAGTCTATAGGTCTCCGCTTCTATGAGACTCCATATAACAAAAATTAGAATTCTTATTCGGCCGGAACCTCCTGAAAGTGATAAAAGAGGCCTACGGATCCTGGGTAATTACAACAACAAAAACAACAACACAAGCGGTACCCTCCATGGCGGTGGTGAGCACGGTGACGGCGCTGCGCGTGCGCTTGCTCAACCGCGGCTCTTCCAGGAGGTTGAGCGAGCGGCTGCTGAGCCTCCTGCAGCTGCGCCGCGTGCCGGCCTCGCTGCTCGTGTCCTGCACGCCGTCGCACACACGCACGCGCCACGCGTCGTCACACACACACGCACATCGTCGCACACACATACACACACACAGGTCGTCGCACGTACACGCATCGCCCACACGCACGTCGTTGCACACGAGCACACACACGCGCACACGTCCTCATACACGCGCACACACACACGCACGCAAGTCGTCGCACACACGCACACACACATGCACGCGAGTCGTCGCACACGCGCTCACATGCACGCACGCGTGCACGAGTTGTCACACACACACATGAACACACATCGTCGCGGACACGGACACAGACATTGTCGCACACAAGCACACACGAAACAAAGACAAAGATCCCCCGTATATCCTTTAACAGACTGTTAGGGCAAGTGCTATTACTCCTGTCACACCTATGAAGGCCGGCAGAGCACACAAGAGGATGAGTGGCCAGCACCACGCCCGGCCGCCTTGGTCTCCCCAGTGGCGATGTTTACACACCGCACCAGGTATTAATTTGAGGTTGAGTCGACCTAGGGGAGACTCAGGACCGTACCGGCGCACTGCTACTGGCCGTGCCGGGTCCATTGCCCACACGTAGCCGGCGTTCGGCCGATTGCGTTGGTTCGGTGGACGCCGCGCGACGTGAATGAATGAAACGGCCGGCTCATTAGTTTTCCCATTAAGTCAATCGTCAGAATCAGACTTTTTTTTCTCTCTCAGAATCAGAATCTTTACTTGTCCTGTATAATCGTAGTTCCACTCCCCCCCTCACCCCGCCCCCCTCGCCCTTTCACCCACCCCACCCGCACGACGCCCCCTGTCTGTTCCCAAACGTGCGTTGGATCGAGGACATCAAGCTGGGACCCAGTGGCATAGCGTGGCTGGCACGGGCCCCTGTGCAAGGAATTAAACGGGCCCACCTCCACCGGTCAAATTTCACGCGCCCCACACCGCCACCTCCTAGCCCGATGCCAGGGTCCCTCTGTCCCCGTGGGCTCCGGTGCAGTTGCACCACCCGCACAACGGTTGACAGCTACGACACTGCGAGGGCACGATGAGATGTGACGGGAGATGGGACGGAGTCAGGCAGGAAGGATAGTGTGGCAGACTGAACCCGAGTCGGGATAGGGGTGAAAGAGGACAGGACTAGACAGGGCAGGACAGAAAAAAGAGAGTCAGGAGAGAGTGAACAGGACCACGCAGGGCAGGATGGGGACAGGGCAGGAGGCTTGATAGAGCAACAGAGCCAGGTGGGACAGGACAAGACAGGGCATTTAAGAGACTGAAGAGGACGAGGTAGAAGAGTTGAGGAAAGGTACAGGACCTGCACAAGACATTGCAGGCCTAGGCAGGGCGGTGGAGAAACTAAAGTGAACGAGATGGAGGATCGGACGGGACAAGAAGGTTGAGAGACGGTACAGGGGCAAAACAGAACGCGGCGGAACAAGAAAATAATAGAGGTTTTTTGGTGTTAGATCGTGTAAATATGTAAATGTGTCGTTAAAACCCACCACCCGACACAGCCAACTAGTAAGGGTTGTCACGTAAACAGAACGTGGCCAATTCGTCACTAGTACAGCACACCGGTTGTGTGTTGGAGAGCCAAGCCACAACATTTACAATCTGAGTACGACGTTTTGCCAGTAATCACAACGAGCTTCATTAGGCGACAGCCAGATTTGTGGAGAAGTCCACCTGTTTCGTTCCTTATATGAAGACGAGACAAGACAAGACGCCACGGGTGCAAGGCAGAGGGCGGTCGCGAGACGGAACGCGACGGGGCGGGGTTAGACGAGGCATCGGCGGGAAGCTCGGAGCGCGGCCTCACCGCTTCATCGGTCGGCGCTCTGTCCACCACAATCTCGGGCAGCAGCAGCAGGTGCTGGTTGGCGCCGCCGCCGGCGGCCGTCGCGGCCCCCGCCACGGCCCGCTCCCCGCGGCCGTTGCTGCGGCGCTGGATGGCCGAGCCGCGCCGGCTCCCGGGCACGCTCCTCTCGTCGTCGGCGAGCTCCGTGTCGGAGCTCGGGTCGCGCGCCCGCTTGGGCTTGTAGTACATGCCGATGAGCGACTGTGGGCGGGGGATGACGTGGTGGGTGGGGAGAGAGAGAGGTGGGTGGGATGGGTGGAGGGGGGCCGGTAGGGAGTGCAAGTGGGAGAGACGGTAAGGTGGGGAGATGGGAGGTCAAGGTTGGCGTGGTGGAAGATGGAGGCGGGGAATCGGAAAAAAAACTTTGGAGGTGAGCGGGTGGGTGATTTGCTAAGTGAGTGGGTGGGTGACTTTGGGGTGAGTGGGTGGATGACTTGGGAAGTCAGTGGGTGGGTGGTTGACTTGTTAAGTGAATGGATGGGTGACTTAGTAAGTGGGTGAGTGGGTGTGTGACTTGGTGAGTGGGTGATTTGGGAGGTCGGCAGGCGGACGTGCGGGTGACTCTGTTCGCTGAGCGGACGAGGGGGGCCAGGGAGAGGCGGCCGTACCTCTCGTGAGCGCCCCTTCTTCTTGCCGTTGCTCTTGGCGGTCTCGGCGAGGCTCTCCTCCGACTCGGTCTTGACAATGCCCTCTCCGCTGGTGCATGACTTTCGCTTCTTCTTGTGGCTTACGCGCTCCGTGCCGCTGCTCGGCTTTGACATCTCCGAGGACGAGGAGGAGCTCAGGCCAGCTTGGTCCTCGGCGTACTGCAGGGTTACAAAGGCGGGACGCAAACAGAGCCGCAGGCTTGGAATCATTTGTCAATTTTCGGAGGCTCAATCTGGACGCATGGTGAATTGGCAGCCCCCTCCCACTTATGCAGAGCTCCGCCCACCCAGTCACTTGCCCCGCCCACTATGCAGGTAGCTCCGCCCATTCCCTAGGTAGCCCCGCCCATTTCGTAGGTAGCCCCGCCCACTGCATAGGTAGCCCCGCCCATTACATAGGTAGCCCCGCCCATTTCGTAGGTAGCTCCGCCCATTACATAGGTAGCCCCGCCCACTACGCATGTAGCCCCGCCCATTACATAGGTAGCCCCGCCCACTACACATGTAGCCCCGCCCATTACATAGGTAGCCCCGCCCATTACCTAGGTAGCTCCGCCCACTACGCGGGTAGCCGTGACCAGTGCATGCACTGGTCACGGCTACCTGCAAAAGGCAATGATCCCCAGTTTATCCTTGAAAGGCCGATTTACGTTGGAGGATTCGTTCCTTGAAAGGTGCGACAGCGAATATCGGAACGACGAGAATCAAGGTGACTTTTCCACAAGAGCTGAACAAAGACAACGGAGGGTACGGTGACGCTGTGTTAATGCTCGCATCTTCATTGTAGACGTACCCACAGCGTTACATTAAATGACAAAAATGTTTTACCGTGCTCAACACGAGTGTACAGCAAGTCAGCTTTAACGCAAATTGGACGGAGTATATAATAACATACAGTGCACTAAAAAAATCACCAAAAAACTGTACATAAATAATATATTGTACTGTGCAGTGCAGTAGATTTCTTTGTGCGTGCGGCAAATTCGTTTCCGTACGGGGCTAGGTGGAGGCAGTGCCGGATTAAGCTAGTGCGGGGGCCTGTAGCATATGTTAAATAGGGGTCTAAAAAACATAAATATAAAAAACATACATTTTTTACTTGCATAGTAAAGTAATTGTATTGTTTTATTTGCTATACGGCCAGAATATACAACAAATCGTTAACCTTAAACACCCAGTCGTTCGTGAAAGTTGAAGGCGGTATAGTACTATAGTAATAGAGCAAGTGCAGAATCAGAATTGATTGAAAGCATTCAGCGCGGGGCCCATGAAAGTAAGGGGGGCCCGTAGCTGCTACATATGTAGCTACGACATATGTAGCTGCTTTTGCTACTAGGATCATCCGGCATTGGGTGGAGGTGAGGGGCTGAGGCGACGGATACGAGAAATGACGGACGCTATCAGCGACGTAAGCGCACGGGGGCGAGTCGGGCAGCGGTATTCATAATAAAGCGACAAAAGCGTTTTGGCGAAACGAGGCAAAAAGGGAGGAGACGAAAATCTGCGCGTGGCTGTTGCTCATGAAGTACGCCACCATTCGTGAGGCCGTTGGTTTGGCCAGCACCACACTGCGTCAGCTCCGTCTCCCCAGTGGCAATGTTTACGCACCACGCTAGCCACTCATTTAACGGCTGAGTTGACCAGATGCACAAATATAAATTTCCCACGGGTTTTTCCCTCCACACTTTGAATTTAATCCTAATAATAATTTAAATGTTTCATGCGCATTCCATCCTAGGATCCCAATGCGCGATGCATGAAAGGCAGGAGACAAAAACAGAGGCAGCGCAACCGACCAAACTAAAGAATAAAGGCCACTTTTAAAAGATGGGGTTTTCAAAGCACACTTAAATATATCTACCGACTCCGATTGCCCTGATTTCAAGTGGCAAGGCACTTCCATAGTTCGGGTGCCACCGCGAACAAAAGCACCGCTCGCCAAAAGAGCGCAACCCAGACCTGGGAGCGCTGAGCAGTTGGAGATGAGAAGCTTTTAAGGCCCTTGATGGAATGTATAAATGTTTTAGTTCCTGAAAGTAATGCACGGTATTTTTGGCTGATTTGCATTCCCACGTGATGAGGAGCCACTGTCTCGCTTCTCAAAAAGAGCTACATAGCTCAGCGGGTACCTTACCTGGTAAAAATGTAAGAAAGAGTTTTTAATTCTAGATTTGAAGCTTTCGTGACTGCAAGGATTCATACTCTTGGGTTTTTTCGGTAAAGTCACGTAGGAAAAAAATTATTTTACTTTTATTAATTTGAATTTGAATTTTTTACCTACGTGACTTTACCGAAAAAACCCAAAAGAGTTTTTAGTTTAGCCGCAACTCCGCACCGCCGACTACCCCGACCTCAACTGCCGAGCCTCCGGCTCCGAGGCTGGCGACCGGGCGACATCAAACGCGGCGCGAGCCGACGGCGCCCCGAGGCTGCGGCAAGGAAACGCCGCCGCCACCGCCGCCGCCTTTCTCGCGAGCGCCGCAATTATTCTGCCCGTCATTCACCGCGGCGGTGGCGCCGGAGTGGTGCGTGTCCCTTACCCCCCTCCCCACCACCCCTCCAGGCCCCTCGCTCCCCGCACCCACACGCAACCCCAACTCCCCCCAGACAACAGGGTCACGTGATCCCACACTGCCCCCTGCACCACCGATTCACAGACCGTGGGTCAGGTGATCCCACACTGCCCCCTGCACCACCGATTCACAGACCGTGGGTCACGTGATCCCACACTGCGCCCTGCACCGCCGATTCACAGACCGTGGGTCACGTGATCCCACACTGCCCCCTGCACCACCGATTCACAGATCATGGGTCACGTGATCCCACACTGCCCCCTGCACCACCGATTCACAGATTGTGGGTCACGTGATCCCACACTGCCCCCTGCACCACTGATTCACAGACCGTGGGTCACGTGGTAGTATTGGCGGCAACAATGGTGGGAGTTAGTGGTGGTGATGGTGGAGTTGGTGGTTGTCACGGCAGCGGCAACTGTGGCGGTGGTCGTAAGGTGTTTGCAGGCTGCGGTGGCTTCGTGACCAAGTCTCCTTCAGGGCAGGCAGGTGACAGGTGCAATTGTGAGGAAGGCTTCCATTGTGTGCGGGGGTTCACGCGTGTTTGCTCAACGCACAACACGCACGGACGCGCTCGCGGCCGGCCCGCCGTGCGTCCGGTCGCCACTGCAGTGGACAGACAAATAGAGCGCCTTGAGAGAAAGGCTGCATTAATTTCAAATTGGAGTTCGGGGAATGGTGTAATATTTTTTTTATGCAACTGAACCTGGGACCTGACCAATGGTTCTCTCGCCCTTCCAATTATCGTAGCCTGATCCGCGGCTGTTACAACCTCGTGGTGATGGCTGAGCCCTTTTATTTGAAGTATCCAAACCTCGTAGTCAATGTTAAGGTCTGACCTCCAGATCCCTCACCTCTTGATAATTATTGAGGTGCACCTCCGATTAGCACAGTTGGCTACGTACGGTACGAAATAAGTTCAACGTGCGTACATACAACATGGGGGTTTTCACAGCTGGCGATTGCTGTGGTCTCATCTTGAGATGCTTTTACCTCTTGGTAATTGTTGACAGTCTTACATTGAGGTTGTTACATCTTGGTTGTGATTGATAAAGTGTCACCTAAGGATATTTTCAGCCTACGAAGGTCTCGCCTGAGACCATCATACCCGATTGTTGTTGTTGAGCTCCTCGCCTGAGGTACTAAAATCTCCTGGTCAACAACTGAGGACTCGCTTTAGAGGTCCCAGCGTCCGGTCGTGACAGCGGAGCTTTTGCCATCTGGGTCCTCAAACCTCTTTGTGATCACCAAGAGGGCTCACCTTTGAGATCACCGCACCTCCTGAGCATTGCTGAGATCTCAACCTTAAGGTCACCACAGCTGGTGGTAACTGCTGAGTTTTTTCATCCTCAAAGTTCCCCGTAAGTCCGAGGTCCTCCAGGCGGCGATTGTGCAGGCCTCCCATCCGAGGCCCGTACGCACGCCCACCGCTTTGCGGTTGCCCCTCACCTGCTGCTCCATGTCATCCTGGTGCTTGTGGAGGTTCTCTAGCATCTGCTGGAACTCCCGCTCCTTCTCCTCGGCCTCGGCCAGCGTGGCCTGGTTCTGCTCGTCGTACGCCATGGCCACCACGGCCAGAATGAGGTTGATGAGGTAGAAGGATCCAATGAAGATAACCACCACGAAGAAGATCATGTAGGTCTTTCCGGCGGCCCTCAGTGTCTGCAAGTACAAAGCAATGCACATTCGCGTCAGTTGGCTTATTACGTTGTTGAGCGACCTGGCCACTTTTCACCGAGTTCCTACGTATCTCTATGATTTCTACGTATGGGTGCCACGGTGGCTAGGAGATGTTAACTAACTCGACTGGTATACAGGAGGTCGTGCGTTCGATCCCGACCCTGAACGCCTTTTGCGTGTTCTCTCCGTGGTCACGTGGATTTTTCTCCAGGTACTCCGGTTTTCCCTCCACATTTAGAATCAGCATCATGCGTTTACAGTATTTGGCTGTTGTAATGTCCACACAATAAGCCACTTGTTGAGCAATTATTTGTGGTGGCCAGGTCGCTTCTGAAAAAGAGCTATACATCTCAGCGAGCCTTACCTGGTAAAATTAAATGTTGTTAGTTTAGTATCTCTATAAGTCTCTATGTATCTCTTTGAGTCTATGTATCTCTATGAGTTTCTGTGAGTCTCTATGTCAATTTTATTACGTGTTTGAGTCAGCTGGGCCAGGATTGGCCAATACATTAAAACTAACAATGAACTTTTAAAGAATTACAGTTAAGAGACAAACAACAGTATCCATACTATTCAAATTAAGAACTAAAATAAAAACACATTTTAAACAGGGAAGTGAAACCACTCATGCGCACCGATTATCTGCAACTGGTGCCGTTGCGCCGTTCTCCCCGGAAGCATCCCAACTATCGACGCTAAACATCACTTGGAGCCGCACGACGAGGTGACATAACGACGAGGTGACGTGACGAGGTGACAAGGTGATGTGACGTGATGACGAGGTGACGTGACGAGGTGACATGACGTGCTGGCGTGTGGCGAGCGGCGGCTTAGGGAGGGCATAGGAGGCACCCGCTTCCAGTTCGGATTTTAGCACAGATTTCTCGCCTCTAAATTCTGGGCAACCCGTTCATCGCTGTACCTCCACGGCCTCTAGCTCCACGCACTGCGCAGAAGGACCGATGCACGGAACGTCGCCCAACCTCTTCGTAAGTCGTAATTGACGAACCCGTAGAATTCCTTCCATCGATCTGGGCGTGTTCCCTGAGGGGGCAAGTCCCCCCCTTGGCGAAGACAACTCGATGCAAAAGTTTCGCCGTACACGGGATCGTCTTCTTACCGTGCCCCTCAACCCCCACCCATCCCTTCCCCCTTACCTCCGCCCACACGTCGCAGACAGACGGCGCTTAGTTGGAAAGCGTAAAGAAAAACAAGACCCAGATATTAATATCCTAAGATTCGGGTTTGAGAATTAAAAATAACCGCCATTACCGAACGTCAGGATCGCTGTTAACCGCTGTTGTCCTGTTTACTTGATCTTCTCCTGAGGTGCCAGTGACCACGGAGATAAAAGTGGACGGCCTCCGTGTATCAGCGGTTGGCACAAGGAGGTCCTATAAATGTACAGGAATTCCCAGAATGACTACGATAGCAGATGGGCAGGAGGAGGAGGAGGAAGAAAAAAAAACTCACTCCTGTCGCCCGCTACAGCTCCTCGCATCTCCCACACATCCGGTCGTAACCGCGGCGTTCCTGCGTTGGTGACGCTCCTTCATTTGTCTGTCGCCAGTTACTCGATCTCGTGCCCCCGATGCCAAGAGGGTGGCATAGTTGCCAACGGTACCGGTCGCACCCACCGGCGGTCAGTCGCCTGCTTGTCACTCTTCTACCTGCTAACGACCGTGTGATCGCTGATCCACGTGAACTTTGCCCGTCGATTCCTCCTCCACCCATGTTGAGGAGGACTCGGGTCTGTACCAGAGTCTGACTGTTTCGTCTCAACCACCATCACCACCAACACCGACTCACATCACTCGCTCGCTCACCCACCCATTCACTCATCCGAATGCGGGTCATAACATTTCAGTCACTCACACACTCAGTCACTCACTCACCCACTCACACACTCACTCAGTCACTCACCCGCTCACTCAGCCACTCACACACTCACTCAGTCACTCACCCGCTCACTCAGCCACTCACACACTCACTCAGTCACTCACCCACTCACTCAGCCACTCACACACTCACTCAGCCACTCACCCAGTCACTCACCCACTCACTCAGGCACTCACCCACTCACTCAGTCACTCACCCACTCACTCAGCCACTCACACACTCACTCAGTTACTCACCCACTCACTCAGCCACTCACACACTCACTCAGTCACTCACCCACTCACTCAGCCACTCACACACTCACTCAGTCACTCACCCACTCACTGACCCACTCAGTCACTCACCCACTCACTCAGTCACTCACCCACTCACTCAGCCACTCACACACACACTCAGTCACTCACCACACTGCTTCTTCCCCCACACTGCTCCACTTTGGAATTCCCTCCCACCCACCTGGTTCTCCCAAGCTCTTACGACAATAACCTCGCTCTACTCCACTCGTATTGAGTACAATGTCAACAATGTCGTCTGTTGCTCTAATCTAGCCATTGATTATGATGTCAACTTATACGGTCGGTGTCACACTAACTACTAAGACACAATATTTGTAATCCGTCAGCCGATTGGCTTGTTTCTTCCCTTAGCTAATTTGAAAGTTTTCAATGGAAAAAAATTGATATAGAGCATATATGTTCATATATATGCCAATTTAATTGATACGCCAATATCTTGGCCATGCACACACGGTAACCCACTGTGGCCGTGCGCTCCTTCAAAGGAGGAGGAACAGCGCCACGATCTCTCTCTCTCTCCTGAAGCCCTCTCGTCACTGCAAGCAGCAGCAGTAGGCCGCGACATTGAGCCCCTGAACATCTCGCTTCTGCTGCCATCATACCCAAGAAGAGAAGAGAATGCCCACTTGCGTGCCGGTTCCATTTACATCTTATGCCACACAGGGACAGCTGCCAGTGGGGGGAGGGGGAGGGAGGAGGGGTTGCCCTATCCTCGCCTTCCGCAGGGCATTGGCATGGTTGAGATTAGATCTGTGGTGTAAGGCGCTTGGGGAGTTCAATTCCTGGTTGGGGGTGACCCGGCCCAATCAATCCCTCCGTGGTCAATAACATGAGTGCCACTTGTGTGTGGAAGTCAGCAATGGTTGTCCTATGGATTAGACTCCCCGATGTACGTTCGTCTGCTGAACTTCTCTCGCACCATAACGTAGCCAACCGCGCTAATCGGAGGTGCGGGGGAAGTACATCAATCTAAAACACACACAAAAAATGTGGAACTCCCAACAGTGGTTGGAGCATGGGGATCACTTTTGACTTTTGACTTCCGAGTTGCCGAGGCATGCGAAGCGGGTGGCCCTGTTCGCGGCAGAGACCCTCCGATGCCGTGACGAGGTTCCCACCTGCATGAAGAGGTTCTCCCAGAAGTCCTGCGTCATGAGGCGGAAGAGCGCGAGGAAGGCCCAGCTGAAGGAGTCGAAGCTCGTGTAGCCATAATTGGGGTTGCGCCCGGCCTTGATGCACGTGAAGCCCTCGGGGCATTGGCTGCGTGAGGACAACGCACGGGGCTGCATCACGGCACGCTCGCATGCACGCGCACGCACGCACGCACACGCACGCTCGCTCACTCACCCCTGTAAACTCGAACACTCCCCTCGCTCGCACGCTTTCGTACCTGGCAAGCACGTGCGCGCACGCACACGACGCTCGCTCATCCGCGCACAGTCGCACGCTTACCCACGCACACTTGTTCACCCACATGCACACACACACCCGCTCGCTCAACCACACACACGCTCGCTCACCCACGCGCGCACACACTCGCTCACTCACCCACACACACGCTCGCTCACCCACGCGCACACACACTTGCTCGCTCAGTCCTTGTACACGCTCGCTCATCCATGCACACTCGCTTACCCGCACACACACACACCCGCTCGCTCACCCACGCGCACACACACACGCTCACTCACCCATGCACACTCGCTCACCCATGCACACACACACACGCTCGCTCACCCACGCGCACACACACCCTGGCTCCCTCGCCCACACTGACTCTGCTCGCACACTTGCGTCCTCAAAATCTCACAATATGCTCTACTACTACTTGCTTACTATTTCATTTTATTTCGCAGGTGAAGCCCACTGAGATATTAGACATTTTTCCGAGGCGACGTGGTCACACGTGATGACGGCTCACCATCAAAGTGGCTGGGAATTCATAGCAGCAGCCAAACCATCGAAACGCAAGTCGATTCTACGTGTGGAGGAGGGGGGCAAAACCGGAGGAACCCGCAGAACAATCCATCCGACGGCCACGGGGAGAGAGGGAGAGAACACACGGACTCCAACTATACAACAGGTATGGTCGGGGGTCCGGGATCGAACCCACATACGGGCGATGGAGATAACATCTCCCCGCCACCGCGGCACCTGTGTTCGTGACCGCGCGGTTAGGCCGCAGAATAATTCTGCCGCTCGCAAAAAAGATACGTAAAACGCCATCGGGACCTCGCGTCTCGATGTGCAAGTTCCGCTCACCCGGCGTCCGAGCCATTGCCGCAGAGAAGCGCGTCTTTCCCCTTGACTTCCCAGACGTAATGGTTTTCTGGAAACACACGCGCACAACAGCGACACTCATGAAATAATAATCGCCGTTGTCGTCGAACCATTCAGGGTTCTGTCTGTAGACAGGTCCGTGGGACAATTTTCCTCCCGCGCGTCTCTGCTCGTTGGACGTCCACTGCGGTAAACCGCTGCTGTCTGCGTTCCTTCAACGGAGTAGGAACAGCGACGCGACACGAACTCCCTCGCTCTGCTGAAGCCCTCTGGTTGTGGCCAGTAGCAGCAGCAGCAGCAAACCTCGACATTGCCATCCAGCTGCTGAACACACTGCCAAAGAGGCTCTAAAAGAATAGAACGCCTGTACATGATCGAAAAACTCCTGGGACGCATCATCCTCCAGGGAATCAGCCCTTTCATCGACTCGGTGATCCCCCGAGATCAAGTGGGTTTCTAACCTGAACGCTGTTGCTCCGACCAAGTATTGGCCATTGCGACGCACAACTTATTCGAGGCCAGATTTTTTTTAATAAAATCCAAGACAGGCATAGCCTACGTAGACTCGTCTACAGCCTACAACATGGTCTGGATTAAAGGCCTGATAATGAAGCTCGCAAAGATCATCGCCTGCCGCCTCCAAAACACGACTACGCCCGATACGGACGGTGTGCACCTACGTATGTTGAACGTCTTTTGCACCACTGTACGTGGCCAACCGCGCTAATCAGAGGTGCGGGGGAAGGACAACAAACTGAACACGAAAAGCAGCTCTAAAGAAATTAGTTTTCAGTGTAGATTAAAAAGTGCGTAGCTCCAGTGGCTTCCTGATATCGGAAGGAAAAGCGTTCCAGACGGCTGCAGAAGCTCATCTGAAAGCGCTCGATACGGTGGCCGCCATCTTTGTTTGACGGCCAACCAGAAAAGGCGCCGCCGCTGCTGCCGCTGCTGGCACGAGGATGACCGGGGTTCGCGCGATGGCGCACGCTCCCTCGCGACATCGGAACAAGGCATCGCGGGTTCAGTCGCAACGAGCGCCCCGCCACCCACTCGTATCGTCGACGTAGGTCTGCCAGTCGAAGGGCTCCTCCGTCGTGTTGTACGCGAACGTGACGTTTGGCCGCGGCCAGAGGATGCACTTGTGCCGCAGGTTGCCCATGAAGAGCTGCAGGCCGATGAGGGCGAACACGCTGAGGCAGAAGACGGTGAGGATCACCACGTCCGACAGCTTCTTCACCGACTGGATCAGTGCCCCCACTATGGTCTTGAGGCCTGCGCGCAGAGCCAGCGACGTACGTACGTTGAACTTCTTTCGCACCGCACGCAAGCCAACCGCGCCAATCGGAGGTGCGTGTACTCTGCAAGATAGGCTACGCATCGGCAAATGTGACCGCGCGCAGGGCATTGTCACACGCGTTGGGGCGAGAGAGGAGTCGAGCTCGCGACTTTCCGACCGCGAGCCGTTCGCACTGCCGCTCAGTCAGCCTGACGGGGTCACCCCCCCCCCCCCCACCCAAGTCGACTCAAGCTCGTGCACGTGCATGGAATTATTGTTGTCAATCCACTGCTGGATGACGCACGTCTACAAATGCCACCCCCCCCCCCCCCTCTTAGCAAACCTCCGCCCCTCCCCGCCACCTCTCCGAGTATTTGAATAAACATTCCCCCATGTCATCAAATAAAACCAATGTTCGGAAAGATAATAGTTCCTCTTTTGAATAATTTGTGAGCCTCTTTCGTTTTGTAGGGGAAGGAGGAAGTGGTGGCAGTCACGGTGGCTCGCGGTGCTGTGATACGAACAGCGGCGGGCCGAGTTCGAATTCCCGCTCACGGCTAACATCAGTGGCGAAAATCTGAACCGATCCCCGGCCTGCCCTAGGACCACTCGTCCGTAACCGACTCGCCGGTACGGAGAGTCAGAATCAGACGAAGGCGGCCTGGCTCCGGCCACACCAACGCGTCGTGCGCCGCGTTAGCCTTAATAGGTGCTCGCTAACGGCACTTGCCCTGTGCAGGCTATACGGGAGGACCTTTGTCTTTGTGTGTGTGTGAACGTCACCCGGGATAACGGAGATGGTCTTGAGAGCTCGCAAAACCCGGAAGGTTCTCAGAGCCGAGACGTTCCCCAGGTCCACGAACTCCGTCACGTACCTGGGCAAAGTCACATGCGTGAACTACTGATACCACTCCTCACTACGAACAACTCGCTACGACTCCTCACTGCAGCAACTCCACATAAACCACCGGCACTCCTCACTTTTGATACAATTCCATCAAATCGACAAGGCTACTTACTATTAATGAATACGCTTTACGAATATTTAACGCTGCCTGCAAAATTAAAGAGGCGCAGATGTTTCCGCGAGCACACAATGGAGCCCACAGACACTTCCACGACGGAATCCACAGATTTCGGTCCCGCGCTAACGAATCATCTCGCGGATTTCTCCTCCTAAACATTCGGCGCAATAACCGAGGAGCGCTAACGCGCCCGAGAGAGGAACGTCCCACCCCGGAGACGGAGCGGATTAAAATCAGTGCACTTGCGGCTTGGGGGAGGGCCTTCATCCAGCAGTGGATTTTATCAGGGCTTACGATGACGATATTTTTATTCCCCACGTGACAGAAGCCGTGGATTTCTAGCCCCCCCCCCGCCCATCTGAACCCCTCACCCACAGCCTCACCCCCCCGAAACCACCACTCCCCCCCCCCCCTAACACCACTGGCCCCATGGCTGGCTGCACAGATCTATAATTTAACTCTTCTATTCTTATTTTACCAGGTGTGTAAGGGCCCCACTGAGCTATCTAACACGTATTTTTCTTTCTCAGAAGCGACCTGGCTACCACAAAACTAATAGGTCTCAACAACGTGGGCTTCATCGCGTGGACATTTATAGCAGTCGCCAAATTACTGTGAAACGCCGTGACGTTGATTCTAAATGCGGTGATGGGTGGGGGGGGGGAGGGAAATATCGGAGCACTCTGGACAAAAATCCACGCGACCACGCGGAGAGACAGAGAGAGACACCGCAAACGCCACATATACAGAACCCCCCCCTTCCCCCACAACGCACGCCATAGTGATGACGCTGAAGTCCAGCCAATTCCAGGGGTCCCGGAGGAAGGTGAAGTTGTCGATGACGAATCCTCTCGCGACGATCTTGATGAGCGACTCGAACGTGTAGATCCCCGTGAAGGTGTACCTGGGCGGAGGTTACGGCGGCATGGTTACAAAGGTGGCCCGGCGTGGTGCTGGCCACCCACCACCTCGTGTACCGTTCTGGCCTTCATAGGTGCTCGCTAACGGCACTTGCCCCGACATTCTGTTAAGGCTATACGGGGGATCCTTGTCTTTGTGCGTTTGGGGGGGAGGGGGGCAAACCGGAGCTCTCGGAGAAAATCCGCCGCGTGAGAGAAAGGAGGTGGGGGAGGATGCCCGACACCCTTTAAAATCTCTCGCACGCAAAAGATGGAAAGAGATGAAGATTAATGTTGCGCATAACTCGTCGGCAAGTAACCGTCTCCTCCTGCCGCACCAGCCTGATCCGTCGACCCTAGCCGTCTCCACGGTGCTGGATTCCAGGCAGCCACGTGCAGAGAGCCACCACCACCACCGCCACCGCGGCCTGGCTACGTGAAGATCGCACGGTGTTCCTCGTGGACAAAAGCCGGTGCTGTAAACACACCTCCACCAGGGCTTTCTACGCGCTGCCAGACCACGTGACTTCTGAGAAGTGGCCGAGCAGTCTCCCCATCATCTGGTCTTAAGACTGACAGAGACCCACAGACTCGCACAGAGCCCCGCAGAATCACATAGAGACCCGCAGACTCGCACAGAGACCCACAGACTCACACAGAGACCCACAGACTCACACAGAGAGCCACAGACTCGCACAGAGACCCACAGACTCGCACAGAGACCCACAGACTCGCACAGAGACCCGCAAAATCACACAGAGACCCGCAGACTCGCACAGAGACCCACAGACTCACACAGAGACCCACAAACTCGCACAGAGACCCACAGACTCACACAGAGACCCACAGACTCGCACAGAGACCCACAGACTCGCACAGAGACCCACAGACTCGCACAGAGACCCACAGACTCACATAGACCCATTGACTTACACAGAGACCCACAGACTCACTAAGACCCATTGACTAACAGAGATCCACAGACTCACATAAACCCACTGACTTACACAGAGACCCACAGACTCGCATAGACCCATAGACTAACACAGAGACCCACAGACTCGTACAGACAGCCGTACACTCAGAGACCCACATACTCCCATAGACCCATAAACCAACACAGAGACCCATAGATCCTGCCCTCACAGTATCCCACCACCATCTGGTCTTAGGCCTTCTCTTGCCCCGTGGTCGCCAGGCTCGTAGAGAGACCACTCCAAAGCCGACCTCAGTAACCGGGCCCTCCCTCCCCTCCACCCTGCACACGCGTCCCACCCAGCGAATCCAGGTTTTGCCTCAACGAACCCAGGTAGCCGGGATCGTAGCGGAGTGTTGCTAACCACTGCGCCACCACTCCGCGCTCAAGCAAAAACAGGACAGGTGCCAATTGCCACTGAGTGGTAGTGACGTCACTGCCGTGCTTGTGCCAGGCTAGGTGCATTTCGAGGCAATCACGTGAAGTGTGCAAGGCTCGATGACGGGTCATGGGACAGACTCAGGTGTTACGCGTCGACTGAGATGATGACTGGCAAATGCAAAGACAAAGATGTCACATATAGCCTTAGACTTTTGGAGCAAGTGCTGTTAGCGAGCACCTTTGAAAGCCGGCACAACACACGAAGGGGAGGGGGGGTAGCCAGCACCACGCCCGGCCGCCTTTGTCTCCCCCGGTGGCGATGATGAACAACACAACACCAAAGCACAGCATTCATTTGAGGCTGAGTCGCGTCTCGGGGGAGGCCCAGAACCGACTCGGATCAATCGTCACCGGAGTTGGTGGCCGTATGAGCAGCAGGGATCGAACTCGGGCGGCCGGGGCGGCCACCGCTCGCCACACATCGAGCTCATTGCATTAGATATGAGCTGCGGATGTGGGGAGACGCGCTCGCGCTGACGCGTCGCTGTGAGTGTGTATTATACATGAGCTTTGTTGTGGACGAGCGCAAAGGCGAGCAAGCGGGGCAGTAGCAGCAGGTGTGCGCGCACGCACGCGCACGCACGCGCGCACGCACGCGCACAGTCAAACAAAGGCAAATATCCCCCCAGCACCCCCCCCCCCACCGTCCATTACAAAAGAGCCGGCATACTCGTCGGGGCAAGTGCCGTCAGCGAGCAAACCCCCGAAGAAGAGCGAGCGACTCGCAAAGCGACCGACAAGCGGTGACTCACTGCTGACAAGACTCCCGTCGAATGTTGGAATATATCGAAAAGTTGTCCAGATTAGAATAATAATAATAGGTCTTCTTGGTTCTTTCGGTAAAGTCACGTAGAATGGAAATAATAAAATAATAAAAATAAAACATAACAAAATAACTCTCACGACGTTTCGGCCACAACGCAAGCAGCCGTCCTCAGGTGACGCTGTCTTCTCGACAGACCTGTTCTTCACAACGCAAGCAGCCGTCCTCAGGTGACGCTGTCTTCTCGACAGACCTGTTCTTCACCTGAGGACGGCTGCTTGCGTTGTGGCCGAAACGTCGTGAGAGTTATTTTGTTATGTTTTATTTTTATTATTTTATTATTTCCATTCTACGTGACTTTACCGAAAGAACCAAGAAGACCTATTATTATTATTCTAATCTGGACAACTTTTCGATATATTCCAACATTCGACGGGAACCAAGAAGATGAATCCCTGCAGTCACGAAAGCTTTAAATCGAAATAATAATAGGGTTTTCCCCCTTTTTTTCTGGCAACAAAACTGAAACCTCTTTACGAGGATTCAAACCCTATTATTATATTTTGGTACTGGCAGAAGAGGTCTAATGATGTAGATGCTCACCCCGAGCCCTCATTACTCTGATAGTGGAATTGTCTTTAAGCTGTGGATGCCTTTTGGCGTCCTCTGGTCTAGCACCAATTGAGACGAGGCTCAAAAGAAAGCCGTCTTTGGCGTGGACCAATCAGTTTCAAGGACAATGCATACATTATCAGAGTGTGTTTTTGTTTGCATTTTGACCGCAAGTATTGTGGTTAATGCAGACATTAATCCTTGTAAGAAAAAAGGTTTCAGTTTTGCTGCCAGAAAAAAGGGGGAAAACCCTATTATTATATTGGTACCGACAAAAGAAGTCTAATGAAGCTGTCCAGAGTTTTCTTTTCTTGTGTTGAGACAAATGCTGCTGAAATTATGGACTTCAAAACTAGGCGGGAAGGCGTGGGTCTGGTCTGGTCTGGCCGGCAGGCTGATGGGATGTGTTAAAAATAAACTTGTATTTTTTTTAAGTGGGGGGGGGGGGGGTGGGGGGGGGGGCAGATGCTGGGCAGCAGGCTTCGTGTCTAGTTATGTATCTCGTGTTATCTATTCCAAAGCCTACGTTTGATTCTCCGCGACAGCTGACACCGAGTGGCGAGTGTCATCTGAACCGGACCTCCTATCCTTCACAAACCTGCATTGACCAACGTGGTAAAGTATGGTAACCCCCCCCCCCCCCCCCCACCTCTCGAACAACATTGCACCAGGAAGCCTTCATCAAGCAGTGGATTGACAAACAGCTTGTCGAAAACTATTTTATAAGGTCAGCATTGTGGATGAGGTTGTGGCAAGCACCAACAACGAGCGGAGCGCCGGGCAGCTAAAACGCAGAAAGTTGGCACAGTAGGGGGGTACAGCTGGTGGTGCATCTACCGGTCATCTCAGTTAGCCAACCCATGGCACCTGCAGGGTCTGTCCCGAGACCTCCTGCACCTAGCCTGGCACAGTGGGGGGTACAGCTGGTGGTGCATCTACCAGTCATCTCAGTCAGCCAACCCACGGCACCTGCAGGGTCTGTCCCGAGACCTCCTGCACCTAGCCTGGCACAGTGGGGGGTACAGCTGGTGGTGCATCTACCGGTCATCTCAGTCAGCCAACCCATGGCACCTGCAGGGTCTGTCCCGAGACCAGTCAGGCAGCGAGCCTTCGACACTTCACGTGGCCTCAAAGTGCACCTAGCCTGGCACAGACGCCGTGGAGACGTCACCGTCACTTAGTGGCGAATGGCGCGTGGTATTGGTATTGCCAAGCGCCACGCAAAACCGTCTTTGTCTCTAACCTATGCCCCAACATAAAGCTCCGACACATCAGTGGGCAAGCACTGCTAGCGAGCACCTATCAAGATGGGGCTATGGCGAACACGGGAGCCGCGTGGCCAACAACCATCCCTGACCACCTTGTGTCTGCCCAGTGTCAAGGTGTTCACACATTGCACCAGGTACGTACGCATACATTTCGGGTGGAGGCAGCCTCGGAGAGGGCTGGGGAATCGAACTCGGATCGCCGGAGTACGGAGCACAGCGTCACCACTCCCAACACAAAGGCAAAGATACCCCCGTGTAGCCTTAACAGGCTGTTGGGGCAAGTGCTGTTAGCGAGTAGCACCTACGAAGGCTGGCAAGGCACACTTAGGGGGTGGGTGGCCAGCACCGTGCCCGGTTATAAATGGTGCATCTCATTCTACCACATAGTCCAAGATCAACCACCATCCTATCTCCCCTGCCTATGAACGACTCCTCTGCCTCTCGCCATGAGAAGCGGTGGCATTTTAGGCGCCGCCATATACCGTACATCCACGCCGTGCGGCTTATCCCTCGGTTTACGAAAGGGATGCGTTCTTTAAAAAAATACGGCATCTCGTAAATCCATTAAAACTAAAAATCAGGGGATGTCATTCCAACTCTACTCTTTAACCTAAAACACACCACCTACATCACTTTTTACAATACAAAAAAACATTAATGAGCAAATTATTAAAACGATTTACTAATACCAATTGATGTATTCATCTTTTTCAGGAGAACTCGCCAAAAAGATCTGCTGCACGTGGAGGCGCCGGAGAGAAATTTCGCTCACGCGGGAAATTCGAAGTTTTTGGTCGAAAAAGTGCACGTAAACCTGTCGCTTTTGCATTAACGCGACATTTCGTGAAAGCGAGCGTTCGTTAAACGCGGGAGCCCGCGGAGCAAACGTGGAGACCCACGGACTCGCAGAGAGGCCCAAATACTGAACTGATGTCGATAACAAGTAAACCCGTAAAAACAAAGTTTTTCACTATAAATCCTTTATATGCGTGGCGGCTAGAGTCCTCTCGTCCTCTGGCTTGAGATGGCTGCCACCTATGGGTCAAATGATTGCATGCCACCATTAAGCAATTGGTAATGAAATATATATTTTTCCTTAAAAGTGTAAAATTTTGGAATTTTTTTTCACGAACATTAATTGTCTCGCACAACGAGTCTGTTTGCAAAATGTCAGCTCGATTGGATCACGGGAAGTGGGTTAAAAAACGACCGAAAGATTTGCACGGTCGTAAGCGCGCAAGCAAGCACGCAAGCACGCAAGCAAGCAAGCGAACTTAATATAAAGGATTTCAAAAAACAACACAACACACGATCATCACACATCACCCCACTGCCTTAGAGAGGAACACACATTTAGGTAACGGTCCAGGCACCATCAGCACACAAAGGAGCCAGAAAGGTCGATGCTACATCGAGACCCCATATAAACACGTAGAGACACGTAGACTCGCATCGAGGTTGACAACGTGCATACGTACGGACACACAAACTCGAATAGACCCATTACACTCACACAGAGACCCATGCCCAAATAGGAACCCATAAACCGCACACAGAAACTAAGACTTATATCGAGGCCTATGGACTCACACAGAGAAACCTGAAATAAATAAATGTGTCCACTGTCTGTGTAGCGTGCCATGTTAGACGCTATGCGAGTCCACAATGCGTTGTTCTCTAGGGCTGATGTACATGCTTTTAGAAGCGATGGTCTTAGAGAGTGCTTCGCTTCAGACGATAATCACATATTTATTCACTTTTGTGGGCCAAATTAATTATTTTGCAGTACAGTACTGTACCAGCGCCTTGCTATCACGCCCGGTGCACGTGATTGCACTGAACCACCCTGGACTATTAATGGGGTTACGAATTTATTTACAAAATTTATTTTTGCTTGTGCCCTGAAATAGAGATCAGTGTACATTAGTATTAATTTTCAAAATCTTATTTTTTTAATACAAACTATATCATAAAAATCTATCTCATCCCACTAAAAACTAAAACTAAATATATACACGCCCTTAATTTTCCTTTATTATTATTATTATTATTTTTGTTCACATTCATTTTCAAATTGTATTTCCCACTTTGCTCGGGGCAGCTGCTTACGCAGTCGACACGTGACCTCCAACACCTGCCTCTGCTCTTTAGGCCCTCTGTGTCCCCTGGTCACCAGACTCACGGAGGCCACTCCAATAGCACACGTGCCCCACCTATCACCGCCTCGTCCTTGCTGTCACATCCGCAACGCTTTGTCGTTATTGCTCTATTACAAACCCACCAGGTTGTTTACCCTGTACTCACGCAAAAAAAAAATTGCAAGCATCTTCAACGCGCGCCGAGCTGCACACGCATTCTACCCAGGGAAACTGGATAAGAGGACATTGTGTGTGTGACATTGTGTGTGTGACACTGTGTGTGTGACACTGTGTGTGTGTGACATTGTGTGTGTGACATTGTGTGGGGAGCGGTAGTGTAGCGGTTAGCGCGCTGCGCTATGAACCTGGCGACCCGGGTTCGATTCCCGCTCACGGCTAACACCAGTGACGATTATCTGAACCGGTCCTGGGCCTCCCCTAGGTCGACTCAGCCTTAAATGAGTACCTGGTGCGGTGTGTAAACATCGCCACTAGGGAGACAAAGGCGGTCGGGCGTGGTGCTGGCCACCCACCCCCTCGTGTACCGTTCCGGCCTTCATAGGTGCTCGCTAACAGCACTTGCCCCTACAGTCTGTTCAGGCTATACGGGGGATCTTTGTCTTTGTGACATTGTGTGTGTGACACTGTGTGTGTGACACTGTGTGTGTGACATTGTGTGTGACATTGTGTGTGTGACATTGTGTGTGTGACACTGTGTGTGTGACACTGTGTGTGTGACACTGTGTGTGTGACACTGTGTGTGTGACATTGTGTCATCTCGGTCATCTCGGTCATTCGATCCGTGGCACCTGCTGGGTCTGCCCCATGACCTCCTGCCAGCGGGCGTTCGACACTTCACGTGGCCTCAAGGTGCACTTGGCCTGGAACAAGCGTCGTGGTGACGTCACCGCCACTTAGTGGCGAATGGCGGTTGTTGTTGTGACATTGTGTGTGTGACATTGTGTGTGTGACACTGTGTGTGTGACACTGTGTGTGTGACATTGTATGTGTGACACTGTGTGTGTGACATTGTGTATGTGACACTGTGTGTGTGACACTGTGTGTGTGACATTGTGTGTGTGACACTGTGTGTGTGACACTGTGTGTGTGACATTGTGTGTGTGACATTGTGTGTGTGATATTGTGTGTGTGACATTGTGTGTGTCAACCCGGGGAGCGGTAGTGTAGTGGTTAGCGCGCTGCGCTATGAACCTGGCGACCCGGGTTCGATTCCCGCTCACGGCTAACACCAGTGACGATTATTTGAACCGGTCCTGGGCCTCCCCTAGGTCGACTCAGCCTTAAATGAGTACCTGGTGCGGTGTGTAAACATCGCCACTGGGGAGACAAAGGCGGTCGGGCGTGGTGTTGGCCACCCACCCCCTCGTGTGCCGTGCCGGCCTTCATAGGTGCTCGCTAACAGCACTTGCCCCTACAGTCTGTTAAGGCTATACGGGGGATCTTTGTCTTTGTTTTGTCAACCCGGTGAACGTGTTGGAGATTGTGTGCGGGGCAAGGCAAGTGATTGACAGCTGCAGGACTTACTCGACGTTCTTGGACCAATCGGGTGGATCGCTCATCGTCATGAAGACGCAGTTGGTGATGATGGTGACCATGATGAACAGGCTGAATATCGTGGCTCGGAGTTAGGGAGATCCTTCACCACCATTAGCATCACATCGACATCATCTTCCCATCACGGCCATGCTACTCCCTCGCCCATCATGTCATACATCACTCCACGGCGATCTCTCCATTACAGCCCTCCTAGAATTATCACAGCCACACAGCATCCCATACATCACAGCACCCGCCATATATCCATCTCCGCTTCCATCAATTTCCGAAAAACCCTACCATTATACATTCCATTACCTCCCCTCTCCCATCACTTCCCCCATCACTTACACGTCCCCCGACATCGCTGCTTACATGACCTCCATATCACCCCACCCCATCACTCATCACCTCCCCGTCACTCCAAGCCCATCACCACCTGCACCAACAGGCAATGGCCTTTAAAAAAAAAAAATCTAATTTGAATTAGAAGCTGTAGGAAAAATTTATAAACTTAAAGGAAATACAAAAAAAAAGTTTTTGTTTATCATTCACTGCCACCTAAATACATTCATTGGAGATATAACAAGTTCATGAAGTTTTAATATTTTTACATTTTCCAGCCCTGCAATTTCCTGCTCACGCCACTGCAGCAGAAGAGCCTCTACTGGAGCCCCCTCGAGAGAGAATTTTGGCCAAATCTCCCGCGCAGACTGGCATGTCTCGGAAGAGGCGGGAGCTCCCACACTTTACCCCACCGCACCTGCCGATAGACTAAAGGTCGTACGAATTTATGGAAAGGTGAATTGTATTGATTTGTAAATAGATCGACATTTTTTGAACCCCTCCGGTCGAATGATCGGACGCAGGAGGGAAGTGGTCGGCGCGCTGCACTAAGAACCCAGCGGCACGAGTTCGATTCCCGCTCGCGGCCACCAACACCAGTGACGATTATCTGAACCGATCCTGGGCCTCCCCTAGGTCGACTCAGCCTCAAATGAGTACTTGGTGCGGTGTGTAAACATCGCCACTGGGGAGGCAAAGGCGGCCGGGCGTATGTGCTGGTGAACAGCACTTGCCCCAACCAAAAGGATGTTAAGGCTATAGGGGGCAGTTCCCAGAACCATATTTATATTCTTGAGTTTTTTCGGTAAAGTCACGTAGGTAAAAAATTCAAATTCTAATTAATAAAAGTAAAATAAAATACTTTTATTAATTTACATTTTTTACCTACGTGACTTTACCGAAAAAACCCAAGAATATGAATCCTTGCAGTCACGAAAGCTTTAAATCTAGAATTAGCACCATATCTGGTGGTTACTCCACAACTAGTGTTAGTGGCAGTGACCGGGTACAGAACTCAAATTAAAAGTCAGGCAGGCGCTTCGAATGCAAGGGTAGCATCAGTGGCCAATTGCATTGATCTATCATCCTGACGATAGCCAATAACATTGATTTGTCATCCTGACTCTATGAGGTGTCAGTGGCCAATCGCATTGATTTATCATCCTGATTATAACCAATCACATTGATTTATTATCCTGCCTCTTAGCCAATTACATTGACCTCTCACCCTGCCTCCAGAGGCATCAGTAGCCAATGACATTGATCTCTCTCACACTGCCGATAACCAATCATATTGATCTCTCACTGCCTATAGCCAGCAAATTGATCGATTGCATTGCCTAAAGAGGCATCGGTAGTCAATAACAAAGATCTTGCGTGAATGACACAGTGAAGCGAAACCGAATAAACAGAAACGCAAGACGTGGGGACTTATTTCACCGTCTGGGTGTGTCGGTCATCATTCGAAACCAACTAAAGACCATGGGGGGGGGGCTGTCTTGGGGTGAAGCAGAGGAAACTGCTGAAGACCGTCCGGAGTTGTGGGCTTGTTGCGGCCTTGCGCCCCAGAGGGAGCGAAAAGGAGTCGGATAAGCTGGGTCTGTCGGTGGCTTGGGAAAGCCTTCATTTAGCAGTGGATTGAACATGGCTTTTGATAGCGGTGTTATGTTTTTGGGTAGCATCTTCCTTTAGGCGATGCGGATCAACCTAACTACTATTTCAGATTGCATTTGAACGTTTTAAGGGAGGATAATCATGACCACAGAATCGGAATATTTTATATTGAAGGAATCCGATTATATATAAAGCTCTTTTTTTCACAAGATGTCAAATTAATGTACAGGAGGACTTGGGGTTTCTTTTTATTAAAGAAAGGAGGCTTTAAAGCAGGGGTGGGGAACCTTTTTTCTGCCAAGGGCTATTTGGATATTTCTAACATCATTCACGGGCCATACAAAATTATCATCTTAAAAATTAGCCTGTTATATTTGGTCAAACATTTAATTAACTCGCCCCTAATGCGATGGCTGTAACTGCTTCTCTTTGGTGAGGCGTGTGATGTTAGCTGGTGTTGACGACGTTCCTACTCGCAACTGCTTTTCCAGGTTTGCTCCTAGATTCATTGAATCTCGAGTCCATGCCTGCGGTTGCCTTGGCAGGGCCACATCAAATGATTTCGCGGGCCTCATACGGCCCGCGGGCCGGACGTTCCCTACCCCTGTGTTAAAGAAATAGAATTGTGACTGATTGACGGAAACTTTGGCCAACAAAACCCCTTCCGCGTTCCTCGAAGACGCATTTTGCCATTCTCTCACCTCACCCACGGTCGCCCCCACCAAGTGAACTGCTGCCCCCTCCCCCCCCACCCCCCCCGAGAGACACGTGGCGTGGCCACCACTCGCTCCTGCCTCACCCAGTAGGGGGCCAGCCATGGAGTAGGCACGCACAAGTCTGTCAAATATGCCTGACGCAACCCCCCGCCCCCCGAATCCTAAAGAACGGCTGATATTTAATCCACGCAGAAACGATCAAGGATTAATAATATTAAGGGGCCGCCCATGAATGACGTCACGCGATTTTGGACGATTTTTACCCCCCCCCCCCCTCGTCACACGGCGTCCGACAAAAAGTCAGACCCCCCTCAAATATGACGTCACAAAGCTCTGCCCCCCCTCCCACCCCCAAAAAAATAAAACATGCTTCAAATCGCTTTAACCTATTGTCATTGTAGTGCGTATTTAATGTGGCGCTGCACTCTGATGTTGTAGGAGAAAACATTTTTTAAAAAGTCTATTTTATTAAGTATAACGTGTTGTCTATATTTATTTAAAGTTGCGCATTTTGATGTGACGTCACATTTCTCACCCCCCCCCCCCCTCATAACACATCGTCACAAATGTCTGACCCCTCTCCCCCCCCAGGTGCGTGACGTCATTTATGGACGGCCCCTAAATGTCCAAATGATGGTGCCACTTTGTAGAGCTACCGATCATTTGTGAAAGCCAGGTCGCTCAGAGGGCTTTGACCGGCAGGAAAGATGGGGATGGTTGAGTTAATATTTGGATGTTTGTGTGATTTGTGTACCTTGCACTTTGCGCTCCTATCAGTGTTTTTGTATTTTCGTTGACGTAACGTTCTTACCCCGTGACCCGACTGGACATCTGTGAAAAAGAGCTTTATAGCTCATCGTGATTTCTCCAGTCTAAATTAAAATTCAGATTGTGGCACTCCTTCAGCTGATAACATCGTTACTACACCACTGAAAATGTAGCTACTACACCACTGATAATGTAGTTACTACACCACTGAAAATGTAGCTACTACGCCACTGATAATGTAGCTACTACGCCACTGATAATGTAGTCACTACACCACTGATAATGTAGTTACTACACCACTGATAATGTAGTTACTACGCCACTGATAATGTAGTCACTACGCCACTGATAATGTAGTTACTACGCCACTGATAATGTAGTTACTACGCCACTGATAATGTAGTTACTACGCCACTGATAATGTAGTTACTACACCACTGATAATGTAGTTACTACGCCACTGATAATGTAGCTACTACGCCACTGATAATGTAGTTACTACGCCACTGATAATGTAGTTACTACGCCACTGATAATGTAGTCACTACGCCACTGATAATGTAGTCACTACGCCACTGATAATGTAGTCACTACGCCACTGATAATGTAGTTACTACGCCACTGATAATGTAGTCACTACGCCACTGATAATGTAGCTACTACGCCACTGATAATGTAGTTTCTACGCCACTGATAATGTAGTTACTACACCACTGATAATGTAGTTACTACGCCACTGATAATGTAGTTACTACGCCACTGATAATGTAGTTACTACGCCACTGATAATGTAGTCACTACGCCACTGATAATGTAGTTACTACGCCACTGATAATGTAGCTACTACGCCACTGATAATGTAGTCACTACACCACTGATAATGTAGTTACTACACCACTGATAATGTAGTTACTACGCCACTGATAATGTAGTCACTACACCACTGATAATGTAGTCACTACGCCACTGATAATGTAGTTACTACGCCACTGATAATGTAGTTACTACGCCACTGATAATGTAGTTACTACACCACTGATAATGTAGTTACTACACCACTGATAATGTAGTCACTACACCACTGATAATGTAGTCACTACACCACTGATAATGTAGTTACTACACCACTGATAATGTAGTCACTACACCACTGATAATGTAGTTACTACACCACTGATAATGTAGTCACTACGCAACTGATAATGTAGTCACTACACCACTGATAATGTAGTCACTACTACACCACTGATAATGTATCTACTACACCACTGATAATGTAGTCACTACACCACTGATAATGTAGTTACTACGCCACAGATAATGTAGTCACTACGCCACTGATAATGTAGTTACTACACCACTAATAATGTAGTTACTACGCCACTGATAATGTAGTTACTATACCACTGATAATGTAGTTACTACACTACTGATAATGTAGTCACTATACACCACTGATAATGTAGCTACTACACCACTGATAATGTAGCTACTATGCCACTGATAATGTAGTTAGTTACTACACCACTGATAATGTAGTTACTAGGTCACTGATAATGTCACTACTACACCACTGATAATGTAGCTACTACACCACTGATAATGTAGTTACTACGCCACTGATAATGTCACTACTACGCCACTGATAATGTAGTTACTACGCCATTGATAATGTAGTTACTACGCCACTGATAATGTCACTACTACGCCACTGATAATGTAGTTACTACGCCACTGATAATGTAGTTAATACGCCACTGATAATGTAGCTACTACACCACTGATAATGTAGTTACTACGTCACTGATAATGTAGTTACTACGCCACTGATAATGTAGTTACTACACCACTGATCATGTTGTTACTACGCCACTGATAATGTCGCTACTACGACGCTGGCCTCACCAGAAGCTGTTGAATGGATCGCTCACCTCGACACCGAACGATGACTACTTCCCCAGCCATACGAAGAAAAAGACGAGGACCCCTCCCCCCGCCCACCACTCTTCACCCTCCATTCTGCCACATCTGTCCTCATTTAGGGGCCGTCCATAAATGACGTACACACGATTTTGGACGATTTTTGACCCCCCATCCCTCGTCACACGGCGTCACAAAAAGTCAGACCTCCCCCCAAAAACATATTTCCATTTTGAAAATAAAACATGCTTCAAATCGCTTTGAAGCATGTTTTATTTTTGTTGGAGAAAACATTTATTAAAAAGTCTATTCAATTAAGTAGAACGTGTTGTCTATATTGATTTAAAGTTGCGCATTTTGATGTGACGTTACATTTCTCAAACACCCACCCCCCATTCTGCCACATCTGTCCTCATTTAGGGGCCGTCCATAAATGACGTCACACGATTTTGGACGATTTTTGACCCCCCATCCCTCGTCACACGGCGTCACAAAAAGTCAGACCTCCCCCCAAAAACATATTTCCATTTTGAAAATAAAACATGCTTCAAATCGCTTTGAAGCATGTTTTATTTTTGTTGGAGAAAACATTTATTAAAAAGTCTTTTCAATTAAGTAGAACGTGTTGTCTATATTGATTTAAAGTTGCGCATTTTGATGTGACGTTACATTTCTCAAACACCCACCCCCCCTCGTCACACATCGTCACAAATGTCTGACCCCCTCCCCCCCCCCCCGCTAGGTGCGTGACGTCATTTATGGACGGCCCCCTACACTCTTTTAAAACCACTCAAGTTTAAGCGCCAATGTAATTTTACAACATAATTGCAACCTCTATTACATTCGCTTTTATTTTTAAATCTGTAATTTTGGAAGGCTTTGATCAGAATCAGAATCTTTATTCACCCTGTAGAAATCCGATGAGCTAAGAAGCTCTTTTTGACAGAAATTACCTTTTGTCTGCGGGCCGAGTCGCCCCCTTTGAAAGAGAGCTTCCTTAGCCCTTACGGCCTTTACTCCGGCGGGAAATGAAGTTCCCATCCCAAACCTGTAATTCCTCGGCAACTCCAAAAGGATATGTGTGGGTAAGGACCCTGATGGCACCTCGCCTCATTAAGTTGAAGGGGCTGATCATGTAGAGCGCCGGGGTGGCGCTGAATCGGAAGATTGCCTTGCCTTTGTTGACAACGATGAACGTCTGTGACACACGGGGGGAAGGGGGGTCAGGGGTCAGAGGTTACATTTATCGAAGTGTTTTTTTTTGTTGACAATCAATCGTGGAGGAGGTGGGGGGGGGGGGTTCTATTATTTATTTGCATCGTCCGGTAACCGCAAAAAGAAAACCAGTTAGTAAAAAATATTTAGTGGTTACCGGTTTCACCACGCGTATACAGGGACCCATCTATTTATGAACATTCGACCTACGAACTTTCAGAGATACGAACAAACGAGTCCATATGGTTCAGTCGCTTGTTCGGACTGAGAGTCGTAAGCTCAACCACCGCACAATAGATGACGGTAGTGGCATCAACATCTGCAGAACGTGATGAGCCAGTGGAATCTACAGGAGATAATACAACTTTTAAAGCCATTCACCGTGTTTAGTGTGCACGGCGTCCAACGTGTTTGGAATCGACAAGAGCAAAGTTGGACTTACGAACAAATCGACTTACGAACAGACCTCTGGAACAGAACTCGTTCTTGAGTAGAGGAATCCCTGGACAGGCAATGTTATGGCATGAACACAACGGGTGCACCTCTGGCGGTATATTGATTCAAATGTTTAAGCCAGCCGGAATAATCCATTGACCACCTTGAGGCGCCAGCGTTGGCGCCGGCGTGTATGGGGTGGGGGTGGGGGTAGTTGGTTTACCTTCTGCGAGCTGTAGAACGGGTCCAGGTCCACGAGGGGGGTGCCGACCATTTCCGGCGGGATGTCGCCGTAGATCATGGGCAGGCCCTTGCCGGCCTCCAGGTCGCTCTTGGGCTTCGGCTTCTTGTCGTCGTCCTCCTCTTCGGTGCCCCCGTCGCTGCCGACCTTCGCGGCTCGCTGCTTCTCCTCGGCGATCCTCCTCTCGATCTCCTCCAGCACCTCCGGAGTGAACTTCTTGAAGCTGTGCGGTCCAGGTGGTGCCGCGCCACCGAAAGGGCTCTTTGCAGCTTGTGGGGCCATATCTGCATTCTGCAGTGATGAACCCCCCGCCCCCTCCACTCACGCACCTAGCCTGGCACGGTGTCCCTCCAATGCTCGGCGGGTGAAGATTGTCGATTGTTTTTTCGTCGTCGGCGGTTGCGGTGTCGTGCGCTCGTCTGTTGAAGTTCTTCCGCGACCGCGCTAATCGGAGGTGCGACTGCTGCCGCTTGTGCTGTAGGCGCGACTAGGTGTGCTGCGAGTGGGCCATGTGTGTGTCAGAAGCGTGTATTGCGTGTGCCGTGGGTGTAATGAATGTGGAGTTAATATGGGCAGCGTGGAAGAGTAGGCCAAGTGCCCTGTCGAGACGATGCTCTGCGGAGCTCCCTCGAGAGTGGAGGCCCCTGCCGCCAGCAGTGCCGTGAGCAAGCAATTGCAGGAGCAGCGACTTTAGCTTTTATCGTGAATGTACAGTACATGTAAATGTGTGCAATGCAATATTGTAACATATATGTGTGTGCGTGTATATATATATATCTCGTGTATATATAATTAATGACTTATATGATAAATTTATGAACGTCGAGAAATGTGCGTGCGCATGCAATGCGATGTATATGCGCAGGCGTTACGTTCGCAACGGCGTTTGCAACATCACCCGCGCGCGTAATGTCCAGCCCGAGGTTAATCAGCGACTTGCCCGCCCAGCGCTTGGCACAGATGTCGTAGGTCGCGGCCCCGAGAGGGATGATCGTTGTTGACTTGGTCACCCACGGCGAGCGGCGCGGGAGGACGCTTCTCGCCCCTGCGTGAACAATCGGCAGCACGAGAAGGAGCGGCGGCGCAGTAGTTAGCGCACTGAGCTGTTGATGCACAGGGGTGTGGTGCGGGCTGGCGAGCGCCACGTCACGGCCGCCTTTGTCTCCCCAGTGCCGATATTTATTTTTATTTCTCCCCCCCCCCCCCACCACACCAGTTGGGTATAGGGCACTCAATTTGGAAGGTTGTTGAGTCGACCTCGGCGAGCCCAAGGGACCGGTTCGGGTATCACTCGCCGCTGATGTGAGCCGTGTCTGGGAATCGAACCGATTGCAGGTGTGGGCAGGGACCGCAGCTTAACCAGTGCATTGCGTAACTATCAGCAACGGGGGAGACAAAGGTGGTCTTAGGGCAAGTTGCTGTTCGCGAGCACCTATTAAGGCCGGCACGACACGCGAGGCGGTGATGTGAACAGCACCGTCTTTGTCTCCCCAGTGCTGATTTTATTTGTATATTTACACACCACACTGAAGATACCCATTTAAGGCTGAGTCTACCTAGCGGAAGCCCAGCACAAATTCAGGCACCAGATGCGCTAGCAGACAGTGTCTTAGAATTGAAGCGCTCTTATTTTGTTGACCGGTACATTGCACACATACGCTTCGCTGGCAATCGCTGTTTAACAGCCTCTGAACATCAACTCGGAGGGGAGGGGAGGTGAGACAAAGGCGGCCGGGAGTCGTAATGCCGACAGAACCACTCCCTCGTGTGCCGTTGGAGCCCTAATTGACACACACACACACACATACAGAGACGCACACACACAGCAATTTATCTAATCTATCCTCGTGAGTGGCCCGCATTGGAAGTGGTTAATAATTGAGCGAGCGAGAGCTATGTTTGGACACTTAATGCGTGGTGTCTGTCTGCCCCCTGCTCCATTAGAGAACCAGGTGAGTCGAGCAAATGCCGAATATTTATGCCCCCGTTCGTCACATTAAGCAGCAATGTACGTCTTTATAGATGCGGTGGTGGTAAGGGGGAGATGGGAGGGGGGATTAAGAGCCTGATTAGATATTTTTTGTAATAGTTTTGGGTACAAAAAACAAGCCGTATATCTTTCCCTAAAGAAATCGCCCAAATCGATCCGCCTTTTTGGCCATTTCGGATGAAATCTGAATCTGAACCGAAGAGCCCCCCCCCCTTTCCCCACCCCTTAATAACGGGGGAGTGGGTTCTCTGAAACTAGTTTTGGTTGGTGGTGGAAATTACACATTCCTATGGCAGTGCCCATTCACTCCATGAACGCAACCAGCCGTTGATTTTTTTTTTATCTTCGTAAGTTGCACCGAAACGTCACATATTATTTTTTGGTGAGGGTCATTGCCCAAAACGTCACCTATTATATACTTTCCCTTGAAGGCGCCACAGCGTTATTGACAGATGTGTTGAGAATGTTGTTATCTGTGCTTGTGCACCACTGCGTATAACGGAAGTGCCACAGCATCACAAAGTAGTGCTCATTTTACTGATGCTTGTGATGATGATGATGGATCATGATCCTGATGATAGCATTGGTTAATCAACCCTAGCCAGGATGTGAACTCATATTTTTACACATGTAAGCCCAACTGCTCGATTCGCAATGTTCGGTATAAAAGAATGATTCAGATGCTGAATCAAATACTGGCTTTTTCGTCCTCTGCACACACAATATAGAACACAATCAACGTTTTTTTGGGTTAGATCGCGTTATTTATAAATGTGTCGTAACCCTCCACCGCCCGACACGGCCAATCAGCAAAAAAGTGTCACGTTGACAAAAGACAAATAGTTCACTACTTTAGCCCACCGGTGTGTTGAAGCGTGAAACCACAACATTGTAAATGTGTCGGGTGGTGGAGGGTTACGACACATTTATAAATAACGCGATATAACCCAAAAACGTTGATTATGAATAATATTGGTCGCGAAAGCCTACGTGCTAAACAATAAAGAACAGGCGTCTTCATATCGTATGGCTGATGTCAGGGGCGGTTTCTTCATTAGGGCGATTGGGCGACGCACCACCAATGTCATTGAACCACAGAGTCACGCTTGCCGTCACTGCAGCCTCTGGATATAGTCCAATCAGCGTCATGTCACGTTCTGTGGAGTACCGCCTCTTTTTGGGCGATTTCACTCCGGCTGAGAATCGCCCCGAGTGGTCCCATAGACTTACATTCAAAGATGTTTTTTTTCGACCGTGGGGCGCTCCAATGCATTCTCTATGGCTTCCGGGAGGGCATGCACTAACGTGCTTACGTCATCATACGTGCTAACGTCATCATACGTAAGCACGTTTCATCCAACAATATAATTTGTGGCCACCGAATGGAATCTTTAATAAAATAAACTTGAGTGGTTTGTTTTAATAGTGAGTATAGAAACAAACAAGATGTATTGTAAGAGTCACTTTATTTTTCATTAATATTAAAGAAGTGAAGTTGCCTTTACATGCTTAAGCTGTTAATTTATCCATTGCATGGGTGGACCTTATCATTATCAATCATCCAGACATTTGCCCCCCCTGAGAGATTTTGCAGGAGCCGCCACTGGCTGATGTAGATGCAGAGCAGACAACTACAATTTCAAATTCGGGTGGTGACGCCCAGATAACTGCGTCAAGGAGCAGTAGCCAAGGGTATCATCATTGCTGTGATGTCTCTCTTTCGTATTTGAGGATCGGGGCATTGCGTCGCTAGACGTTGTACGGTCTGTTCTGGATGACCACGGTCGCACACTGCTAGAGAGTTTTCCATATCCCGCATCTGCCACAGTTTTGTGCAGTCGATGCGGCTAAGGGTGGACCGTGAGCTTCGTGGAAGATCAAAACCCAGGAATATTCTGCGTTGAGGGCTTTCACGCTGTATATAGAACAGTGTTTTAATATTTATATACCGTATATATTGAACGACAGATACAATGTTTTATACGATATTGAGGAAGTGCTCGATGCGGTAACAGCATCTGGTAGCCGAGCAGCATTTACGTAACAAGACTGACGTTGCTGGAGAGACAACTTTGAAAGTCAACATCGTTGAAGCAAAAGCTTCTGGGTTAATGTTCGCTCATAAAATCAACAGGCTGGTGGACTAAAACGAGATCGCATTGCTACGCGTGGAGATCAACGGAAGCAACGCTTGTTTATCTTTAGGTATAAAATAGATTTTGCGCGTAATTCAACTTGACTGGGAGGTTGGGCACCTCAAGCCAGATGGTGGTGGTGGTGGTGATGTATGCACGTGTATGTTGAACTTCTTTCGCACAACACGTAGCCAACCGTGATAATCGGAGGTGCGGGAGAAGGACAAAGAAACTAAACACAAAAATAGCAGTTCTCAAGAAATGATGATGATGATCAGACTGTTTGAGAATCGGCGATGCACTGCTGGTTCAATTCCACCCAAAGCCAAACTTTTCATATTGCAATTGGCAAAACATGATAATAAGCTTTTCCCCCTTTTTTCTGGCAACAAAGCAGGTTTTAAGATGTTAAAACACCAAACTGAAACCTTTAACAAAGAATCATGTCTGCATTAACCACAATGACTGTGGTCAGAATGCAAACAAAAAAACAAACTCTGGTAATATATGCATTGTCCTTGAATCTGATTGGTCCACACCAGAGACAGCTTTCTTTTGAGCCTCGTCTCAAACGGTGTGAGACCAGAAGACGCCAAAAGGCGTACAGCCCAGAGACAACGCACTATCAGAACAATGAGAGCTCGGGGTGAGCATCTACATCATGGGACCTCCTTTGCCAGTACCAAAATATTATAATAGGTTTTTCCCCTTTTTTCTGGCAACACAACAGCTGTGTTAAGATGTTAAAACACCAAACTGAAACCTTTAACAAGGAATCAAAACATCCCAATGTTTACTATTTTAACTATTTTTTATTTTATTTTATCAGCTAAGGCCCACTGAGCCAAATAACTCATTTAACAGAAGCGACCTGGCCATCACAAATGACAGCTCAGCGAAGTGGCTTAGCACGTGGGACATTTACAAGCAAGCCAAATACTCTAAACGCGTGATGTTGATTCTAAATGTGAAGGGGAAAACCGGAGGACCCGGAGAAAAATCCACGCGACCGCGTGTGGGAGAGACACGTAAACTCCAGACACACAGGGTCAGGATCGAATCCACGAGCTGCTACACACCAGCAAGACGCACCGCGAATTTCAGACGAGTGGGACGGCAGGAGCCACGCGATGAGGAGCCGGCGCCACAAACAATTGCCCGAGATCTGCGGTCCTCTATATACGCTAAGATGTTATTAGCCAATTAACGCGTGTGTATTACCCGTATTCGTCGGATTATCAGACGCACCCCAAATGTCTACTTGGTATCAATAAAGTTATACAAATTTGGTCTCACATAAGGCGTACCTCCAACATTTGTTTTAAACTACAGGGACAAAACGCCCGTCTAGTAATCTAGACAATACAATATTAATGATTGTTATTTAGTTATTTCGCTCAGGGAGTGTGTACAGTGGTAAAGAATCATAACGGAGCGGCAGCAAAAGGTATGGAACGCGTCCGCAGGCTCCTGAGAGGTGGTGGCGGCTTGGAAAGGCGTTCATCCAGCAGTGGATTGCCCATTGCCGGTGATAATGACGATGACGGTGATGCCCTCACTCTCTGCCTGTTCAACTCCATTAAGACTCCAAAGACAAACATCCCCCGGAAGGCCTCAACAGACTGTAGGGGCAGGTGCTGCTATAGAGGCCGGTACGGCACACGAGGGGGTGGGTGGCCAACACCACTCCTACCGCGTGGAAAATTTGATGGAAAAATGTTTATACCCTTTCCCATAGCAATGCGACGTGTCAACAAAAGCCGGTTAGTAAACTCGACACCCCGACCGTCTCGGCTATCTTGGCTCGCGACGGGCTCCACTTACAGACGGGCGTACGCGATATTCCTTGATGAAATATCTAGATAATGTGTTAAAAATAAAATTAAAAATAAAAAGACCAGCCAAATATACCCTCCCCAA